CTGCGGTACAGTGGCTAGCTAGGCCGTTGGTCAGGAAACCGAAAACTTCCAACTCCGACATGTCCGGGTTGACGGCAAAGGTCAACACTTGAATGGCCTCGATGTACTGGTCTGGAGTCTCCGAACCGGTGTACTGGCGTTCCTGCAGAGCCAACCGGGCTTTCCACACGCGGTCCTGATCGTGGAAACGATCAATCAGGACCTTCTTCAGCTCGGTGTATGTCCGGTCCGGCTTCTGGGCATCGATGCGCATGAACACCTTCAACGCTTGACCCCCAAAATAGGATGGTATTGCTGCCAGCTTTGCGGTATCGGTCCACTGGTTAGCTTTGGCAGCGCGCTCGAACAGCACGAACCAATGCTGAATGGCCATATCGAAGTCATCAAACGTCGGCGGTTTCACAAACTACAGGTTAGACTTCAGTATGGGCTGATACGGTGTTTCGGTGATGTGGACTGGACGCGGTTCAGCGGCAGGTTGACGCAACGGCGGTGTTGGACTTGGCGTTTGCGGCGACTTCTTGCGGCGTTCCTTTTCGAACGCCTTGGCCAGGGTATCAGCAAGCTGTTCTGGGTCCAAAACCACAAAGTTCTGATTTGCCGTTGGTGACCGCTAGGGGCGGTTGGCACGGTATTCCGGAGACTGTCGGGAAACTACTGTTCCAGCAATCGGTGAGTTACTGCGGCTATCGGACAGACGGGAGTTCTCTGCGACCAGCTTCGCGTTCTGGACCTGCAGCTGGGCGATGTAGCCGGACTGGTGCTGGAAAACACGTTCATCTTTCGTGGTAGGGGTACGACCATGGGCGGTTGGCAACACCGCAGAAATGGCGCTGCCTGCGGCTTTGATGGCGGACGAAAAGAAATTTCGGACGGTGGCCAATGATTTGCCGCTCTGCACAGACACGATTGAAGAGTCGGATGATCGGCGGGATTGTTGAGAATGCGCTCGCGGAGGTTCGGCGTGAATGTCAGCCATGGTAACGATAGCGTCGGGGTTCATCCTAGGACTGGAAACTGCACTTACTTGCTGGCCCGGTGTGTTCCGTGCGTGCTGATCTTGACGGCGAAAAGACTGTGGTTTTTTATCGGCCATGGACATGATAGACGAATGACGTGGATGGCTAATCGGTGCAGGTTCGAATCCGTAGCGGACGGGTTCCTTCTTGTTGCGCGTTGGCTTCGGCGACATGGTTTCTGAACGCCGATGAATCGTGACCGTGATTGGCCCGAATCACTTCGAGCGGGGTAATTTTCAAATCCGATTGGTCGGTCGGCGCTCCGCCTCTTGACAAGTCCGTGGTAGACTGTATGTGAATGTAGGGAAAAGACTTCGGAAAACTTTGCGGTACTGGCTCGGTGATTCCGTTGGTGGAAATGATGCCAGAAATAAATGGCAAAATTAAATATCGGTTCCAGGATAAAATTGGAAAGGAAGATGCGGAAGATTAAGTGCTTCGGATTATGGTTCCTTCTGTAGATTATTCCTCGTTGCGAGCTGGTAGGCTCAAGCAACGCGGTAACAACTAGAGGCTTGCGTTCCCCCATGTTACACGTGGTGGCGTGTATAACGGTCCCGTAATGGGAAGATTGGATGGAAAAGACAATCGGGAATAAAACTGCGTTTTATTCGTAAGAGAAAATACAACATCGGACGACAAAATTTGCACGATCGTAATGCACAGGAAAAATCGTAGAAAAATCCGGAAAAATCATAATCAGAATGATATCATAATCGGGAAAGCACACTCGACTAAGCCGACGAGGAGAATCAAAACAGGGAAATGCGCACGATGCGTCATCTACTCTCAAAGAACTGAGTGAGTACAATGTCTTGCAAGCGTCTGACGTGAGCACTCTAAATCGTTTGACCCTGGCGGTTTTGGATGGAGTGTGCAGCGTTATCGCTGTCGAATTCTATCGCCATTTTGCCGGTGTGGTTTACCAACCATAATCCGCGCCGACCGAGGCCCAAGCCTGAATCGTCTTCCTGGACGGCTGCCGAAGCCCCTCGGCATTTTGTTATGCAGTTTGTCGTCCCCACAAGTTTGAAAAATGTTTTTTTTCATATAATACAGATCCATGGGCTCTAGACTTAAAGTCTCAAACAGTTTAATTTTGTTATGGATCGGAATGTAAATTTTGGCCAGAACTGGAGCAGTTTAAAGGCGTTGCAACTAAGGAGACGTTTTTCAAGGATACTTTTAGTTATGGGTCACAGACTATCATTGAGTCAGTCTTATCTCTTTTTCATTTGTTGATTCGCTTCGCTGGTACTCTTGTATCTGTACTGCTGCGTTTGATAACATGACATCTTTTCAACAATGGTTTGGATTTCACTTGATTGTTTTCTTTATGTACAAATGTGACTTTACTGGTGGTTTCTCCACGTAGCAAAATTTGCCGGGTTCAACGGCTAGCAACAGAAGCCGCTTCGGCAGTGTGGCAAGGATACCCAGTGACGAATTTAGTAGGGAGGGGCTTGAGGGACCACGGCCCCCTTTCCTGCTAGCTCCGACGTCGAAAAATTCTGCAAAGGGGCAGACGCGAGAATACTTTGGTATGAGTTTTCTGGATACCAACGTAAAAATAGACGACCGGTGCCCCGCTTAAGCTGCCACGGTGTACCATCCGTTAAAAATCACTGACCGGTCGCCTGAGTGTGGAGAAAAATTTCGGACGTATGTTGGGTAAAACCTTACGGTAAAATCGATTTATGACTTCGCGCAAGACTTGCCATTTTCGGGATCTGTAATACCGGTACGTACCGTATACTTGCAAATTTGCCTAGGACTGTATGTTGGTAAGTGCTACGAACATGAATTTCATGATACCGCTGGTATTTACAACAATTATATGTACTCACGTAAATTTTGAAGATATCTGGCTCTAAGTGTAATTTGCAAATGAAATGTAACTTGCATATTAAGGATTAATTTGCATATTAAGAATAAACGATGCACAAAACCGTGTATCATGCGAAACATGACATAATACAGATACATAGCAGCCGCCGTTGCATGAGTAACATGGCAATCCTAACAAGCAAATCATTAGTAACATCTATCTATCTATCTATCTATATAAAAGAATAAGAAGGTGCACGAAATCTGTGTGTGTCAGGGTCTAAGTCATAGACACGTTCAGCCACACTTGAATGTCTATGTACCGTTCGATAGCCCTGAATGTGTAGATTTGTACAAAGTTATCAGATTTCAGAAAAACGTAAACAGTTTTGAGAAAAAATTCACAACTTTAACATGGAAAGTCTACTGGACGTCAAAAACCAGTTAACGGAGCGCAGCCAAGTAAATATGTAGCTGCCACCTTGCGCAGGTTGTGGGGCTCTACTGATTTTACCGTAACGGCGAAGAAGTACTGTACTTACGGCTGCAGCTTGCAACACATTATCCGGTTTGTAGTCGAGTTCGTTTTAATTGCGTTTAAACTGTTGAAGGTAAAAGGCACACGTTTAAAGTTTAAAGTTTGTCCTGTTGTGATTTCTACAAATTATTTACAACGTACTGTAAAAAAACTACACATAGTAATCTGACAGCTATTCCAGTTATGAAATTTGTGCAGTTGCTGCTGCTGGGCTGCGAAGTTTCGCAATGTACCTAAATCTGTGGAAATTGCTACAAGCAAAAACTGAAAAAAAAACCGGGAAATTTTGTGTTTGTTATGTCTAGTTTTTGTAAACGTGGAAACTTCTTGCGGGCTATGCCGCCGTTCGGGTTTCAAACCTCATGTTACCAAATTTGATAGTTTCACAGGCAGGTGACACCGGCCGCCACGACACGAGCGGATTCCGTGGCACAGTAATAGCCCAAATTCCGAATTCACACAAACTAACAATACATACAGTACACAGCAATCCCAAAATTGGCGAAAGTCGAAAACTGGATTTGCTTTTAGTGTTTTCGGAATTGCACTTTCAAACCACAAGTAGACGTGAAAAACTGAAAGCCAAAACGTTTGCGACCACTTCGTTCACAAATTTTAAAACCTTTCGGTTGGTCTACGCTCACCCCGTGCGCTACATTGCGTGCTATTTACACGGTAAGCTACCTTTTCGGTTTTCGCCTTTCACCGTCCCTCATGGTCCGACGTGGGAAAACACTTTGCAGCGTATTTTCTGCACAATAATTTTGCTATGTTTTAAAGACGTGCGCGTTATTGTAAACATATCTGAATTCCAGAAATTATTATTTTTATAAATTCCAGCAATAAATTCCTCTGAATTTCGGAAATTATTCCCAATTCTATGTCCAGAAATTCACTGCACGACAACATAATGGTATTTCGTCCGACTGTTTAAAGTATGTAGCAGCATGTTTCGGACATTTACGAAACATATACTTTAGAAATATCTTGAAAAATGAAAATGAATGTAAAGTACAGAAATATTTTAAACAAGCAAGTGTGATTAAAGCAAATGCAAATATCAGGCGAAGGAAATTTTGTCTTGGACCGTTGGGCAGCCAGTAACGCAATGAACGGAAGGAAAGGTAGTACGAGTACCGAATTCGAAAGTTTCAAAATTTTTTGTGTACAGAAATACGATACGATTGAAAGGCAATGAGAAGTGGTGAACGGAGTGGTCAAATTATTAATTATGTAGTTTTCAAATGTTTTAAACGGTGCAATCGCGCAAGTACTATTTTTGGTTGCTTGGCTGGCTGTTCATTATCACGACTGCTGATAAGTACGTAATTTTTACTATCGTGCTAATTGTAATAACGAAAGTAAGTACAGTACTGTATTGTACGAGTAGGTCTCCATAGTTCGTGCAGTTATCAGCCGCTAATTTACTAGTACGAGTACTTCGCGCAAATTGCGCCGGGTCCACTAGTATAATACAGATACAGAAAATATTTTTGCCCGAACGGCTCGTCAACGCTCGTCATATAAAAAGCTTGAGAGCAAGAGTGAGTCACCCTGCACCGGAAACAAGTGGAAAGCCCTTTAGATAAATATGATCTGCTTAATACCGTTGAGGATTGAGGTTGGTTTTGACTGAAGTTCGTAAAACACGCAGAGGAGCAAAAATTCATTATGAATTTTTGCCGCTCCTTGTTTATAATTTATACTTGTAGTGCTTTCGTGACACTTTTATATCTTGCTGGGACTGATGCTATCCGTAAGAAACGGATAGTCGAGCACACGGCCGTTGGATACAATGGTAAGAATTTATTAAGCGAATTCGCTATTTTACTGAAATGATACCTGGTCTCCTAACACTGTGGTGCGTGAGTGGCTTTTTGCCCCCAAGGAGGGTCAGCAATGCCAGTCTTTGTTTTCTGTTTAAATTGTGAATCATTTTAAGGTGGTTTCTACCTGCGCAAGCTCATTGTTATCTGAATTGGCTATTGCCGAATAAATGTATATTTATACTACATAATAATGATGATACCATCATTCTCAATAAATTCGCTGTAAACATAAGCATTGATTTCGCTCTACCACAACCATTAACTTACCTGTAAATTTTTTAGAGTGTTCGGGATTTTTAAAACAACTGAGCGAAGGTGTACCACCCCAGGCAGAACTATTTTCTGCAAAAATTGAGGATCTCTGCAAGATGGCGGAAAATGCTACCATGCGCATATTTGTATGTTCTGTATCCCTCTATTGTTACTGTACTGATCACTACAGTGATTTATCTTGCATCCCTCTTTTGTTACTGTACTGATCGCTACAGTGATTTTTTAGTGCCAGCATTTGAATGAATCAGAAGAACAGTCGGTAGCCGACTCACTATCAAATCAAACGCCCTTGGAAGAGATCTGTAAAACCCTCCTCCAAAAGCACGAACGCCCCGAAAACTATTGTAAGTCATTAAAAATCACTGTTTTTGGTTTTATACCTGGAATTTTTGCAGTAAAACCGACTGTTAGCTTCGCCCTCCGCCTGAAAGTTCGTTGTATAGCTCTGTAAATGAATCAGTTCAAATTCCTTGCGCAAATTATGTATAAGCATAAAGCGTATAGGGGGGAAAAACCAATATACTCGGCTCGGTACATAAGCACCATGTACATCCACAATGTAAAACACCAGCCGGCTGACATCAGAAGTACAAGGGATGGCCAGTATAGGGAATAACTAAGAGTCCGGACGAGGGATTGTCGTGAAATCAACAAGCAGGGTTTTCGTAAGGAAATTTCTGACCAGTGTTTCAAAGCTTGTATGTTTTAGTCCTATTTCTGCAAGGGAAATGTGTTAGTTACATATATATATAAATTACTAGGGAAGTGCACCGCTGCAGGCTAGCACTAAAAGACCGAAGCGAAGCCACAAAATTCCGTAAGGTCCATTCTGAACAAAGCCTTATCCTGTATTACGAATTTTCGTACTATGTTAAATTCACATAATATTTCTAGTCAACATCAAGATCTGCTGCCTGTATTATGCAGTTAGAATGATTTGCCAACAGCCTCAGTACGAAAGTTTACAGTAGAGCATTTTAGGGAAGATTGACGAAAATTCCACAGATAAAACAAGTCCACGTATAGAGCACAAGCAGAGAAAATTATTAAGTTGTGTTAGTTCAAAAACAATAATTACTGTATTTCTTCATAAGAAATATACAAAAAAGCATACGAATTACTTAACTAAGGAGTACAACGAGTACTTTTTACAATCATAAATCTTATTCCGTCCGTAAAAATACATATTGACCCTTCTGAGGGAAATATGTCGGTCTCTGGTACCAAATTTTGTACACAAAACACTTCGTTGAACTTACAGTACTCCCAAACACTTTTTTGGTAGCAAAATTCTTACCTTCCAACTTTCCACCCGACATTCATTCATTATTGCTATGTACGTATAAGTCAACAGCACCTGGCCAAGCCAAACAAAAATTATGCTCGTTAAGGTAAGTACATTAGTAGCCTATTCCGGGCCCTAATAAACACGTTGCTGCTACAATTATTAAGTAAAGAATTTACTCATTGACTCAGTTCGCATAAAAGGCACTAAATACGAGTAAAATAACTAAAGGAAAATAATCAATAAGCAAAATCAATACATTACTACGATTTTCATAAAAGAAAAACAGGAAGAACTGCAATTGGACTGCCTGCAATGTAGAGGAAACCGGTTTTCCACGTTGACAAAATCCAACAAATTTCGAATTTTTACAATGCCGATTTGTTTTAGTAAATACACAGCAGTGAAAAACATACATGCTTTCACAAAATATAGGGGACAAAACCAGTCTACTCGAACCGTCTCCCTGCACTGCTGCGGTCACCCGACTGGAGTTTTACGTTGTGGCTAAACTTGGTGCTTATGTACCGCGCCCGATTTATCCATATTACAGTATATATATTGCCGTAACGTCACATTCCAGTTGGGTGACGGCAGCAGCGCCGTGAACCGGCTCCACGAAGACGGTTTCCCCCTATAATATAACCTTACACTACTTTGTATTCTGTTATAATATTATAGGCTTTCTGCTATTAGCCTATCACGTAGTGCGTGAGCAGCGTGACCGACGGACAAATTATTGCGTGACCGACAAAAACTCCTGTAATCTTGAACATAGAGGACCTTCGCTTCGCTTGGGTCGATAATTGAAATCGGCATTTTTTTGCTGCACCTGTCATCCAGCCGAAAATTTAACGAAAACTGCTTAAACAGATCAAATACAAAATCGGCATTTTTTTGGGAAAGTTCAAAAAGTGCGATGGCGAATAACTCGTCCAGCGCATGCAGCCGGCCCAAAACATTTTTACTAAGGAAAGAAGAAGTAGTCTGCTAGATAAAACAGTAAAACATATTAAAAAAAGTCCACAAGGAAAAGAAATGCCACGAGATTCTACGTTTTACGAGTTGGCGAGCAAATATATTTTGACATGACTTTGATTAGAACCATTTAAAACGAGCACGGTTAAATTTTTTCAAAAACGTTTTATGTCCTTAGTAGCCAATAAAATTGTCTATCTAATAAGTCTAAATAGTTTACGTGTGGGGAAAGCGGTTTGCGAGAAGCAAACTAAAAACGGAGCCCGCCATTTTGATCAGCCACCCGGGACATTGCGCATTTTTTTAAATAAACATTAACAATGCGCTTTAGTTTATGAACGTATTTCGCGAGCGATTCTCGCCTTTGAAATTCTTGCTGATAAAGTAAAAACTGCTTAAGTTGGGTTTACTAGAAATAAGCCACTAATTTACTATGATTAATACTGTTTTATTTTTAGCCGAAAGCCGCAAGCCCAGTGGAAGCTTGCAAAATACCGTACCTGACGTACAGCATACTGAAACGGCCCAGGATGTACCTTGGATCTGGTTGCCGGTTGTAATAAGTATAATATTGACTGTATTAGTTCTTGGTGGTGTTGTGTTCATGCTTAAAAAGAGCCGTGATATTTAAGATGTTTTGAAAAATCATACAACAAATACGAAAGAAATCTTGCCACATTTCTTATTATGGCATCATATGTACGCTATACTGCCTACACATGAGTCAATCGGCTCTGTATCAATTATAATTAGGTTTGTTTCATGAAATAAAAGCATTACCAAGAATTCTAATCAGCGGAGCCGATTTTTATGACGCAACGTACCTATTTTCACAAATACGCCGGCCAAAATTCATTTCGGCCGTCGGCCAGCAGATTTAAGCAAAGAGGTTGATGCGAGCGCTGAGCAAGTCAGAATTTTGCAAAATAATTTTGTTACATAAAATCCAAACTGATAAAAAATCTCTATAATTATGCGGACAGAAATCGCGTACTGGCAGTAACTGTACGAGGAGGATTATAGTTGAGTCGGTAGCGCATAGCTGCTGTGAGTTAAACTGAACACCAGTTCCGTAAGCTGTTGACGTAACAGCCAACCGTGGATGGTTGCACAGACCAATAGCTGCGGTTGGTAAGTAAACACTGCAACCCCCCACGGCTGACTGTTGCTTAGTTGTTGGAAATGCAACCATCCACGGTTGGCTCTTATGGCAACAGCTTACAGAAATGGTGTGCAACTGTGCAATTTAACTCGCAGCAGCTATGCGCTACCGACTCAACTATAATCCTCCTCGTACGCCTTATGAAAAGTCCAATTTTATCGTGCCCGGCGGCCCGCCAGCCCGACATACTGATTTACAACTTACCCCCATAAACTGACTTAGCCCTTTCCATCCATATTTGTAATAATGCTTCTACGCATTTATGTTCAGAATTCTTCCTTCTTGCAGTAAATATCAAGAACGAAAAGTAAATATCAAGAACCTTACTACTTTCAAAAAATAATTAAAACATATAAATACTTTTATTCGGCATCTGCCAGCACTTGTGTCAATACGCGAGCGCACATTTCCACTAATTCAAATAATTAAATTTTTTTAAAAAATATTTAAAACTGTTTGTGACCAGTTGCCAAATATATATAGGGGGCAAAACTAAACGTGTTCCAGCGTTTCCGGCTGGAGTTTTACGTTGTGGCTGAACATGGCGCTTATGTACCGCGCCAGATTTAACCATATGTACTGCCGTAACGTCACACTCCAGGCGGGTGACGGCAGCAATGCAGGGGAACCGTGGAACAGGCTTAGTTTTGCCCCTTATACATACATGTATATCGAAACTTGTTTTTCCAGACGGGAAAAACATAAAAAATTGAGGAAAACATTTGGGTTCACAGCCTGGCAGTAAATGTAATCATGGCTACTACGCGCTGGAGTGGGCCAAGGATAAGGTTTTTTATGAGGAAAAGAATCCGAATTTCGAAATAGCAAGAAAGCGGAGAACCAGAAAATTTGATGACTTGTAGAAGCAAAATCATTATTTTGATATGTGAAAGTCGGAAACGACAAATGGTATAAGCATAGTATGAATCCAAATCGGCTTTATATAGAGGAGGGCCTAACATCCTTGACGGACAAACCGCTGGGGAGTTCCTGGGGCCACCAGGAAAAACTGATAGACTGTTTTTCCATCGGTTTTACGAAAGTTAACATCCGCCGCAGCTTACGCAGAGAAATGGCAGTTATAGTAGGGCGCTTTGTGTCACGGCTCAGTTTGGTGAATTTCGCACAACAAGATTAAGGTACTAGGCTCTGTCACGTAAAAGCATCCGCACAATATTTGCCTGGTAACAGTTCTTGTCGATCCCACGATCGACCATGGCTCCGGTATGCAAGTCAACCCTCTGTAGACATCTGCTTGAACAAATTAATCAATTTCATTAAGTATGTATCTCTGCGGCCGCCACATGTACTCACTCAGAGAGAGTCGACGAATGTTCGTGTGCGTAGCCAAATTTTTAACTTTCTCACTGCAGTCGACGGTGCGATTTTAAATTATGTAATAGGCACTAACACTTTTTTGGAAATGCAATGTCTACGTGAAACTTCTGCTTGTTTTTACGGGCAAGCCAGCGCTGCGATCGATCATAAGATATCGACATATGTGTGTGACCGCAGCGGCAGCAAAAGTTCCTGCGTGCGGACCTTGGTAATTAAATTAGCTCGATGAATTCTATTGATTTATCCTTCACCTTGTCCTTGGCGCACTATGAAGACACATCGCTGGACGGCTATCCACAAAGCGTCAGACCAGAGAACAGGCATCCCTGCTGGGAAATGTCGGTTGCGCGCCAATGTCATACGTTGAGCGAGTAACGCAATGGAGAGATGACGCTGCAAAGTCTCGCGGTGACACGGAAGTATGTCGCATGTTTACAGGCGTAGTAAACAAGTTGTTTCCATGTGCCGGTTTTCTACCTATGCTCCCTCAGTTTTTGCTCTGCAATCGGTATCGATCTTCCTGAAATACTTGTACGCAAGGTACTATGCTGTATTATCAATCACCGCCATTGATAGGTATCACATGACAATACGATTACTGGTTACATCGTTTTTTTCCCACTGCTTGAAACTTCCCTTGTCCAAGCACTCCTTCTATCGACCAGGAAACACATTATGTATCGCTAGTGATCTGTTTTATCCCAAGCTGTTGCGTGAAAACATATAACGTTTCTTTTCACTAAGCCATATTTACTCTAAGCTGCGGTAATTATTTAATTTTTTGAAACCATTTTAAAATGTGATTCCATTGAGATCTATATAACTTCGTGATTTTAGTATCCGTACACAACAGCCATCAAACGAAAAGGCGGAAGCGCGGTGAGACTATTTCATATTTAAAAACAATTCGTTTCAGAGATTCAAACGTTGTCAGAAAGCTAAGTGATCCTTACGAAAACGAGAAGCATTATGTAAAAGAACCGCTAAGCAGGCACGTTTCCCCTTCAACAGCTCAAAACCCAGACAGAAATAGAAAGACATCAAATGTCAAATCAGCTTTGCATTAAATAGATCCAAAATAAATTACTGACACTGACACGATTTCCGTCTTCTGTTGCCCGGGATCTGTTGGTGCTGGCAGCAGTATCAGGAAAGTAATTCCAAACAAGCTAGATGATGTTGTTATTCTGTACATGATTAATCACACGCGAAACGTCTCGTTTATCCCGTATATGGCCATTTTGCTCCAGGTGCACACCTGTACACTCCGCAGATCGACCTTGTCCCACGCTTTTGGGCTTCCGTCCGAGTGGAACCCGCTGAACCTACATAACGGGATAGACAGAATAATGTGGTAGACGCGCTTGCAAAAGCATCACAATGCAATTGCTCAGTTGAAATTTTAGCAAAGCAGGATCGCATTAGTATCGGTACTACAGGATTGTCATTTCACGCACTTATCAACTACCGTTACAGGAACCTCTACGTGTTTCTGGTGACCTCGGCTTTTTTCTAAGCGAATCAAGATTAAGCACTCTCCTGACGCAAGGTGCGTTTAACCGCATCTCTTGCTGCTAACGAACGGAAGCATGGAGCATTTCACACTTACAGAGAAGATGTTTAATGTTAACGATATCAGATATTAACAGCAAATAAGCAGTACCAAATGCTTTCCACAGTGTCCACAGGCAGCAAAAAAAGCAACGCTTATTCTCTCACAAATGCAAACCGTGGAACACGCCCTTGTGGGAAAACTTCTTCTACGAGTACACACACGACAACGACACACACACACACACACTCACACACGACAACGTGGGGCCCAAAGGTCGCCGTTGCCGCTTTTTCTGTTATATCGTTACCCTGCCGAAAGCAAAACCCAGTGACACAGAAATACCAACTGGAGAATAAAGGAAGGCTATACTAATTCAGGGCTTTACTGCGTTTTCTCGCTTTTACGGAGACTTTGGTAAAACAGTTGTACTTGTACTTGTGAAACAGTTGTGCTTGGTGACGCACACTAATTTTACTCGTGTGAATTTTTCCACCCGCAAACGAGATTTATACTGCAAATTAATATTTACAGCATTAGATAGTGGCGAATACTCCGCCAGTCCTCGGGATAGGCCAGGGTCCGCAGCCAACGCGCATGAATAGCCGTGACCTTTATTAGCATCTCCTCCGTGACCGGCGGAAAGTTGTCATTCAGAGCGCACATCACGCGACTGGTCATGCGCAACTTGCCTTCGCTACAGGCCAGAAGAAGCTTCGGAATGGTGATTTGCAGTTTATCGATGCTGATCATAAGTTCGCGCTACCACTCACAGGACACCATCCACATCCGCTCATGCTCTGGCAGGTAAATGTCGTTAAGTTGCGTATGCCAGCCCACAAAGACTGAGAATATGTGTCGGCCGAAAAGGTCGAAAACTGTCCAGTTGCGTAGCAGGACGAAGTCGCACGTGTGCTTATACAGTGTCATATTCCACGCTGCCCCATGCTTTAAATGCAATCGTTTTTCCCCGAGTTCCCACATTGATGTGGCCTGAACATGGTCTTTGAGTACAAGCAGAGGCAACTTAATTTTAATGGCATCGAACATCGCACCAATAATTTCAGAGTGATGATAGAGTGGCGGGAAACTTCTCAACAGGGTGAGGCTGATTGTTGTCGAGCTGATTGAGCGGCTGAGGAGACAGGCCGCTTTGAAGTAGTTATCGGTGTCCGCTTTGAGGGTGCAACAGCTTTCGAAAGAGATGCTGACATGCTCCTTCATGCTAGGATGGCTAAGCAGCAATAGCCATAAGCCACACACCCTGTCAAGGCACACATGCAGACACTATTAAACGCCATTAAAAATCACAAAATCAGCAACAACAAGTCTGTAGATGATACTCGTAACTGGTTTATACTTTGAACTGAAGCTGCCACAATTTCAAACCTACGCGACTACTCTTCATTCGGGGTGTACAAACTGTTCGCGTACACTGCAAATTGCACAATTGGGAGGTGCAAATTCGATAATTACGTTAATCGGAACGTTCCCTTCTTCAGTTTGGTTTACAATTTTCGGTTAAATCGTGCTACGCGGTTAAATCGTGATACGCGACTTTAAAGATTCTCCGTACCGTTTTGCTTTCATTTGTGAGTGCAGATCCAAATGGGACAAGGCGTCGCTCAACAGCGAAGGCGTCAAATGATGCAGCATCAATGCATCAACTCCGAGTTCTAAAAAACGAATACTACAATACTTCGATTATTCTCGTATTTTGCTCACTTTACGTGTATGTTTTCATGTTTTGTTCACCGTCCGGCGCCAACCTCTATGTTGCGGTCCGGCGGGCTATATATCGCTGATCGCGCGACTAGCCTTTTGATTTGCTTATCACTGCTCTGTAATTACCAGGAAAATTGTTGAAAAAGAGAAATTGTTAAAATTTGTATAGGTGGAAGACTAGTTCTTCTGAAGAGCACCCGGTCCAGCACTCCAGCTTCCGTTGTTCCTTTTGGATTGTATGGAGTTGTATGATTTTATTCCTCACCTTATAAGTCATAAGTGAAGTTTTTACTATAAAAGGTACTTAATCGTTTCTACGAACTTTATTTTGTTAGAAAATTTAAACACCTGGCGAGCAAATATGAAACATTACACTTGAAGGATATGAGCAATTCGAATACTAACTTCGCAGTACAGTATCTGAATTTCAAACTTAATCCGTACGATAAAGAAATGACCCGTATATGTTTAAGTATTAAAACGACGATGATTAGTCATCTCAAAGGGAATGGCTTAATCCAGCCGCGGCCCGAACCGCCTTCGAAAGGTGGTAGTCTCTCTGACAATTGTTGGAAGGTAATTTCCAAAAAGCGTAAACGCCGGGACTTGAACCCATGCGCTCTGTGCAACAGAGGCTATGTCGTGCCACTGAGCCAGGCGCTATACAGACTGTAGGTTAGCAGGGATCGGGATTTTTTACGAACAACGAGACGTGGTACTTTATCGCTTTAGTATCATGCTTCATTTTGCAACAGAGAGACACCACATGAAAGATACAGTAACATTATAACGAGTGACGTGTACGGATATCTTACTAACCGGGTTCGCAAGGGATATTTTCGCTCGCGCGAAATGCTAGCTTATGGACAGGCGGTAGATCACCCCGACCGGCTAGATGAGCTTCCAGAATTTTTAACAAGATCCCAGACCAGTACGTCGGTTCCGCGCCGTTGTCGCGACTGATGACGATAAACATGCAACGTTCAGATTCGATGCGTATATGAAATCGGCAGCATTTCGCCATATAGTCGTGAGGTGGTTCCCGTTTAGCGTCAATGGCGTTATGAACGTGTTTGATGATGCGAAACTTATCGGAAGCATCGCTGAGAATGGCTTTCGCTTGGCCGAACGGGATGAAGTGCTTGGTATATAGCAAACCGCGGCCGTGGCAGGGTGGACTGGGCGGAAGTTCAGTGGCCACTTGGTCTTTGTGGACCACCTCGAAACGAGAACTACAGACGTCGGCTCTGATGCAAAACATTTCGCAATCCTCATTACCCCCCAAGATTCGGTTTATCATAACGGCTGGTCGGAAACGAAGCGGTCCGTTATCGTTATCACGTAGTGCCGCAAATATTGGAATGTTAACGCAACCTTGTCTGGAAAATATGGTGTCCGTGTAGGTTGGCACGGGCCAGATGTCTCTCATGGGCATCCAGCGAGCTTCGGCTGTTTTGGAGTCAAAGTGGATGAAAGCGTTGTCGCCTTCAATATCCTGAATGTACCCTAGCCACCAAATGCCGTCGAGCATGCGGACAGCGACAGTGTTACGAAAGCTGATTTGGTTGGAATCCGCCAATAACGGATGATATGGCGGCATCGCTTCCATCGTATCCATAAAGAAAATAATAAAAAATGGAACGATAATGACACAAATGTAAGTTAAATGATACAAATCTTTAGGTCAACAAGGAATTAGTATGTAACTTCACTGTCTCCACATTTAGTTGCATCCGTAGAGTGTATATGTGCAGCTGTAATCGCATTCTTATTTACGTCCATGAAACACGGTCCAAACTCCAAAGTCCCTAACTATTTTGATGGCAGGAGAGTAAAAAGAGACAATCTCTTTTTCGCAACAATGCTTATAACGGCATCTTGAATTATCAAAGCTCAAATCATCGTAAACTCGCCTTCAAGCATAGGGCAGTGCAAAATGCAGCCTGCGAATTGTCTGGTATTGAGGGTATGCACTTTTGGTATCCGTGTCTGACGTGAAACATTGGCGGTTGTCCAGCCACAGCGTACACCATCTTCTGGATACCATGAGCAGTACAGCGAAACGGTTTGAGTAATTTCACTAGTTACGGTTACACCCCTTCCATTTCAAACTCGTCGGGAAAGAAGAGCGCACCTGTACCCATAAATTACACATGTATGTTAATTCAAGCACACTACATACATTCATTTAACAAACCACGTTTACAGAAACTCTGAAACAGCGCGCGATACACAGGTTAAGATTCCAGACACATCACGTCAACTGCCGTAAAACTGCAGGAAGCCCAGTGCAGCTAATAATGCATGTACTGCCAATGCCACACAGCCTTATTAGCAGCGCTTTACATAAAACACAGTCAAGCCACAACGCAAACCATCAGCTGGCTGACATCAGGCTGTCATCAGCATGCAGTAGCCGGAAACGGTGGAACACGTTTAGTTTTGCCTATACAGTAAAGTAGGCGGCGCAGACCGGCGTAGAGCATTGCGGAATACGTAACATTATCGTAGTGCAAAGGCCGTGAAAGCGAGTCGGGGCATTCTGTACTCTAACAGAAGGAAAGCGAACTGTTACTATTTGCATTGGTATCATCATGATTATGGTATCTTTTCTTTCACAATTTTTTTCACAAATGATATTCCCAGTAGCAACCTGGCGATTCTCATCGCGATCGGATATAATGTAAGCCAGGTTTTTCTATTGTACACGCTTATGAACTGGTATTTATCAAGATGAAGAATAATAATCTGAACAATAAACTTATTTTATATGGGTTATTTACAATCACCTTCGTAATCCGATAATAAACCGCAACGATTTAATACTTTTTGAACCGCCAACATTTACACAACCAACCAACCAACCGAACCAGGAACAAAGCGCGCGGTGATATTAAATTAATCACGAATATTGTAAAACAAGCAACACAATATTGAAACAAAACGCTCCCGTTAATCCCCGCTTCCATCACAGCATTCCTGTACAAATCAGCGACAATCCCGTGCATCCGCTTCCCGGACAATCCAGCATCACACAAGCCGAACGAAAAAAAACCAAAGCTTCGCAGCCAGCGCTGCAGATTAGAAAACCGAAAGAAACATGTAGAAAGATAAACAACAAAAATGGCGGTTTGGCCACACCCGTCGCAAGCCACACCGGGAATTCCGTGATCCAGTAATTTTTAAATCCACAACTGTGTGTGTTGCAGTTAACCATGGATCCATGTATCACACGAATCTTAGCAAAGTTCAGCATAGACCATCCACGAAAACGAAGGAATTAACAGGTAAAAATGAGGTAGTGTATTATTCACCGGGTGACGGTATCACGTTGTCGGTTTGAGATGCGGCGCCGGTTTTGATCAGGCTGATCTGCAGCGTCTCCAGCGCCGTACTGATCTACAAGTACCAGATTCACGCAGTTAGCATTTTTTGGAAAAATCCGAGTTTGCTTTTGAAGTTATTCACTGTACTCGTATTATCTAGAAATCAGCTTAATAATTTATTTATTTAGAATTTAATATTTTGACTCTGACTGTTAGCGCGACAAACAACTGGAGTACGCTGCCGATTAATTACAGTACTTACTTATAGAAGTATGGATTCATCCATAATTTTGCGCTTGTGGTACTGTACGTAGGTGTACTAACTTTAAAGGATAATAATAGTCGATAGTACAATTTATGATTACAGTAATTTTGCCGAAACGATCGTAGTAGTATTTTTCACTTATACAGGTACTGCTTAGTCAAACCTGTTAATTCCAAAAATCGCATCGGGGCTTCCTTGTTTTCAAGGAAGTTTCCGTTTGTTTACTGGAGACGTCTGATCATGTCTGCACTCATGATCTACAGATATTGTTACATATCAGATATTGTATCAGATATTGTTAGTTGTTACGAGTACGTACTGCGTATCGATATCGAAACAGAGAAGTTTAACACGCAATAGCCACCAAAATGAAAATTCGCAAGCGCGGTGACACTACTTCATAATAAATTCATTTGAGACATTTAAACGTTGTCAAAAGCTAAGTGATCCGTAGGAAAATAAGAAGCATTAAGTAAGGAACCGTTAAACAGGCACACAGGATGTTTCCACAGCTCAGAACCCAGAAAGAAAGACATCAATTGTCCAATCAGTGTTGCCTTTAAATACTGTAGACCGAAAATGAACCATTGGCACTTGGCAGCGATACGCGCAGAAAACTCCCCTCAAGGTTTCCGTTTCTTGTTACCCGGGATCTGCTGCTGCTGGTGCTATACTGGTAGCGATGCCGGGAAAAATCATTCCAAACAAGATCGATAATGTTGCTACTCTGTGCATGTTTAATTACACTCGGAACATCTCGTTTATCCCGTATATGGCTAGTTTGCTCCATGTGGATACATCCACAACCCTCAGATCAACCTCGTCCCACTCTTTTGGACTTCCATCCGAGTGAAACCCGCTGAACCTGTACAACGGAATATACAAAATAACGCGCTTGCAAACGAATCACAGTGCATTTGCTCAGCTGGGATTCCCACAGAACAGGATCGCATTTCATTTCATTAGTATTGCTACAAGATTGTCATTTCACGCAATTTTACACAAACCTTTACGTGCTTCTAGTGAACTGGCTTTTTTTTAACGAATTAAGGGTCTATTAACGTGAGATACACCGCACTTCTTACTGCTGTACGATTGAACAGACGCATAAAGCATTTCATACTGAGATATTTAATGCTAACCATATAAAATATTAATAGAATAGTACCGAATGCATAGTACGTAGTACCGAATGCTTTCTGCAGTGCCTACAGACAGTATGAAAGCAAGCGCTCATTCTCTCACAAATGTAAACCATGGAATAAGCCCTTGTGGGAGAACTTCTCTTGCGATAAGACACAGGGCAATATATTAATGTGACGCCCAAAGGTCACCGCTGCTGCTTTTTCCTTGTTCTGTCGTCTCCCTGCCGAAAGCAAAGCCCATTGACACAGCTCACAGCTGCCGCAAGATCTCGCCTACTCATATGTGAGAAACTGTAGTGCGCTGAGAGAAGTTCTCTCGGCGCATACTGTTTCTCACATATGAGTAGGCGATTTATCTTTCCTATTTAACAATTTATTTAGCTTTGTCGCACATCGCGGCAACATCGAAGCAAGCGGGGGCAGCCGCGGCGCGGGCAGAGCAGGATAAAGTGGTGAAGTGTCGGGAACTCACCCGAGATTACTTGTTCCGTGCAGTAGGCGTCGAAACACTCGGACCAGTCGGACCGGACGCCTCTCGTTTGGTCACCGAAGTCGGGAAGATGATACAACTGGAAACAGGCGAGGTACGGGCGACGGAGTATCTGCGCCAACGCATCAGCATAGAAATCCAACGCGGAAACGCGGCCTCCGTCATGGGAACAGCACCAGTATCGGCTAACTTAGACGAAATGTTCAGTGTGATTAGGCCGCCTATTTCTGTAGTCGGCCGAGGCTGTGCATTTAGTACAAATCTTTCGCTTTTATAGGAAACTTGTGACTGTATCGTTCCGCCAATCTGAATAGCCTACACTACAAGTCTAGTTGCTTATAAGTCGTAATTTGCATAGTTACGTATGACGCGGAAATTGTTGGTGATAATGATTAGCTGCTTCGTAATACAGAAATTATTTAACAAGAAAAGCCTTTGCAAAACCCTGGTACATAAACTAACATTCAGCAGCAACTCCATACAGATACTGTACTATTGCTGTGATATTAAATGGATAGACAGTAGACTCAAAGGCCAAAGCACACAAGCAATAAATACTTACTACTGGGTAGAGTACGCTGGCATGCGTTCGGTTCGAGTATGGTCTTTCTGGTAGCAAGTTTACAACGATCAGTAATACCTGTACGCATGCAACTTTCAAGCAGATCCACACAATGTCATAATAACATGTGTAGGCAGTAAAGTGCTTAGTTTAACGCCATGCGAGACCCCATCATTTAAAAATCATAAAGCTCTGACAAATTTAATAAATGCGTCACGCATTTATTAAATTTCACGCATTGCACACGCATTATGCGTGTGCAATTTTGCAGCAATATTCATGGACACCCGTTTTGTTACGAAAAGGCTGCGATTCTCGGCATTTCGTCACCGGGATAATGAACAGATATGAGGTACCAAAAAAACCTAAGAAGTTAAAGGAACCTAAGAAAACCCCCAAAAACTAAGAACATAATTAAGAAAAATCATGAACTAAAAATTACCGACAAAATTATGAAAACTGATTAAGGAAAGAAAAAACAAAAAAAAAGACAAAAACTAAGGAAACCTATTAATTTTAAGGTACTTGAAGGTCACGGGCCGCCGACGAAATCTGGCACTCCTAGTTGTAGGAGTGCCGCATAATCTAGTCACTGTTTCATTCGTTCCGATCCGTAAAACGGCAATGCTTTCATAGTAAAAAATGAACTTTAAAAACAAACAAATAAGAAAGACTGAGTACTTTTTTGATAAGTCGGAAGTATCAAAGAAGTTTTCCTACATACACTGAGAGCCCTGGCAACTACCGCAGCTGCCGGAGGAGCCGCAGCTCCGGTAAGTATTTGAATATTTCGCATCTGCGGTACTATCAAGTCAGTTAACAACTCGTCTTGCAACAGCCCGAGAAAAGCCACGTAAAGAATAATTCGAAACCAGTGCTTCACTGGTGTTTTCGCCTTTTTACGGAGATGTTTGTGAAAGAGATGCACTGGGTACTGATGCACCCCAATTTTACTTGCATGAATCTTTCCACCAGCGAACAGAGTTTATACTTCTAAACTCTTATTACTTACAGCATTAGGTAGTGGCGAATGGTCCGCCAGTCCTCGGGATAGACCAGAGTCCGCAGCCACCGCGCATGAACAGCCGTGACCTTTATTAGCATCTCCTCCGTGACCAGCGGAAAGTTGTCATTCAGAGCGCACATCACGCGACTGGTCATGCGCAACTTGCCTTCGCTACAGGGAAGAAGGAGCTTCGGAATGGTAATTTGCAGTTTGTCTATGCTGGTCATATGTTCGGGCTGCCACTTGTAGGGTACCATCCACTTCTGCTCATGCTCTGGCAGGTAAACGCCGTCAGGTAGCGTGCTCTGGATCACAAAGACTTTGAACATGTGTCGACCGAACAGATCGGATACTGTCCAGTTGCGTAGTACGACGGAGTCGCATGTATGCTTATACAGCGTCATATTCCACGCTGCCCCATGCTTTAAATACGATCGTTTTTGTCCAAAACATTCTGGTGCGACCTCATTATGGTCTTTGAGTACCAGCAAAGGCAGCTTAATTTTAATGGCATCGAACATCGCGCCTATAAATTCAGAGTGAATGTAGATTGGCGGGAAGACTCTCAACAAAGTGAGACTGATGGTCGTTGAGCTGATTGAGCGGCTGAGGAGAGAGGCCGCTTTGAAGCAGTTATCGGTGTCCATTTTGAGGTTCCAGCAGCTTTCGAAAGAGATGCTGACATGCTCCTTCATCCTAGAATTGCTAAGCAGCAATTCCCATAAGGCACACACCCTATCAAGGCACACATACAGACACCCTCCGTTACTACCATAAAAAATCTCAGAAAAAGCAACAACAACTCAGTAGATAATAACCGCTTATATTCCAATATAACATTCATCAGATACCGAGACGTTCTCATCAGCAATGGCGCCAGTTAGATTCACGTCGAAATTTAGTTTGACCTAGATTGCAGAAAGCAGAACCTCGTGGCTTTCCTTCCCATATTAACTATACATTCAAAGTTTTTCTGTTTTTTTATTTAAGAATGACGTCAGTCTGCAGGCAAACCTCCGACCCCTCCCATTCTTTCAAAGCATTTAAATACAAAATAAAATCTTTGTGTGCTAGTTTTGTTTCAACTGGACTTTGATAGTTGTTAGCATAGGTCATTCGAATGTAACTAATAGGCCAATCAAGCACTGACCAAGCGTACTTTGGTTAACTAGACCGCCATTCAGTTCAGCCACGCGATATTTGCAGTGCATGAGAATAAGACGATATTGGCTGCTTTCTTTCCTGGACATCGTATAAATAAGCATTTATTTTGATAGAGACTAGAAGCGGGAATTTTGGTATGTAGCGGGACGTCCTCTGCAGTTTATTTACAGTTTTCGACGTGCCCTCAGCGCAGCCGGTTAAATCGTGATTGGTGCCTCAAGGCTCAAGCTACAAACTGCTACTTCCGGAAGACCGATCATGATCCTTTGAAAGGCAGTCTCGTTATTCCTTTTCGAAAGATATACGCGATTTTTAAGATCCTCCGTACCGTTTTGCTTTCATTTGCGAGTGCAGATCCAAATGGGACAAGATGTCACTCACCAACGAAGGCGTCAAATGATTCGGCATCAATGCATCAACTCCGCCTTCTAAAAAAAGAGTAAGGATTTCGCTTTTCTCATATTTCAGTCACTTTGAGTGTATGGTTTCATACTTCGGTCACCAGGTAGTCAAACTTTCTGACATATCGAAGTTCACAGAGATGATGAGAGATCATTAGTTTTCTCAAAAACGACTTCTCTTAATAAACCTGAAGCGCAAACATACAAATTTTCAGAAAAAAAAACACAGCAAACAAAACAAACTTAAACCGGGTGAGACGCAAAAACCTGGTCTTTTACTTCTACCAATTTCAACAAATAAATTTAAAATTAGTGTTGGCCGATTTTTCTTGATACTGCAGCTTTAAAAAAAATCAGCTGAAAACAAGTTGTGCGATCAGCAGCTACTTATGTGGTGCGCCACATGTGCGGTCGTACCACTGCCCGGTGACCGAATCTGAAACCATACACTCAAAGTGACCGAAATACGTGACAAAGCGAAGTACTACAGTAATTCGATTTTTTTCATATTTTGCTCACTTTATTTGTAGGTTTTCATAAGTCCAGTCTGTCCAGATATTTTGTTCAAGGGCAGTCCCGCACCAACCCATGTGGCGGGCTATACGAATAGCTGCTGATCGCGCGACTAGCCTTTTGATTTGCTTTTCACTGTTCCGTAATTATCAAAACAAGTCGAAACTATTGGAAAATTACAAATTGTTAAAATGTCTATACGTGGAAGACCAATTAATCTGGAGCGCACCCGGTCCAGTTCCTGTTATTCCTTTTTATTTTTTTATGGAAATTTATTGGCTTTGTTCTTCAACTTGCAAGTGAAGTTTTTACTATGAAAGGTAATCGTTTACACAAACTTTATTTTGTCACGAAATTTTCAAACCTGGTGAGCAAATATGAAAACTTATACTTAAAGTAGCTAAAGACGGTTAAAATCGAAGTACCGTATATGAATTTTCAAACAGAGCCTCATGCAACCTAATCCGTATAACCCGTATAAATTTAAGTACTTATGCCTCATTTTGCACTACGGAGACACCGCCTGAAAGATAACATCGTTAACGGCAGGCTACTAACCGGCTTCGTAAGATATGTTTGCACTCGCTTGAAGTACTAGTGCTGGCTTATGGATGGGCGGTAAATTATTCCGACCGGCTAGATGAGTTTCCAGAATTTTTAGCAGGGTTTCAGACCAGTACGTCGATTCCGCGCCGTTGTCGCGACTGATAACGATAAACATGCAACGTTCAGATTCGATGCGTAGATGAAATCGGCAGCAGTTTCTAATATATGTACGAGTTAATTCCATCCTAGCTTCAATGGCGTCGCGAACATGCTTGATGATGCGAAACTTATCGGACGGGTCGCTAAGAACGGCTATCGCTTGGCCGAACGGGACGAAGTGCTTGGTATACAACAGACCCCAGCCTTGACGGGGTGGACTGGGCGGAAGCTCAGTGGCCACTTGGTCTTTGTGGACCACCTCGAAACGAGAACTACAACCGTCGGTTCTGATGCAAAACATTTCGCACTCCACATTACACGCCAAGAGTCGGTTTATCATAACGGCTGGTCGGAAGCGAAGCGGTCCTTTATCGTTATCACGCAGTGCCGCAAATATGGGAATGTTAATGTAACCTTCACTGGAAACCACGGTGTCCCAGTAGGATGGCAGAGGCCAGACGTCTTTCATGGGCATCCAGCGAGCTTCGACCGTCTTACAGTCAAAATGGACGAAGGCGCGGTTGCCTTCTATATTCTGAATGTATCCCAGCCACCAAGTGTCGTCGAGGTTGCGGACAGCGACAGTGTTACGATAGCTGATTTGACTGGAATCCGTTAATAAAGGATGATACCGCGACATTGCTTCCAGTTCATCCAGAGGGGCCTACATGAAAAAAAGACATTCACGCGATAATGAGAATTCACAAGTTATTAGGTGAAAGACAAAATGTTTAGGGTCAACAAGGAACCAGTTTTCTACTCCAGTGGAATTGTGGAAACTCTTTTCCACATGCTTAGACATTCAGACTTGCAACTTGCAAGAGCGTATATCAAGAACAATACGAATGCAATCTACGAGTATAATAACATTTTTCGGATTTCGGCTGCTACGGACATCGATTTGGGAGATTGGCGATCTTTTGGTCATGCTGCAACCTAGCTCTGCAGTTGCGGGCAGAACGATCACGCAACTACGTACTCGATCGCCTATTTCACATTGATGGTATTGTATGCACAATAGTTTGATGTGCTTTTACGTACCTCTAACAATTGTAAGTATTTAAATTTCGCCGTATACCAAGATATTCATCTCACTCATACGTGTTTCCTGAAAATAATAATAGTCAGTACAGTACTAATACATACTTCTATATTTTAAGGCAACAATTTTTGCGGGGGACGCTTTCTTGTAAATTGCCGACTCATTTACGCGATATACGGTTATTTTGGAATTCGGATCGTTTTTTTGCTAGTATATCTACAGTATAACCACAAGCTGCACAAGTGGCTAAACTAAGATACAGATATATCATATAAGAGATCTAGAATCATATCTATATATATTTTTCCTATACGCCATTACATGAGTCTATTCACTTGTAAAGCATCGAGGAAATGCGGCATCGATCATGGGGAGAGCGACGACGGAGCGAATTTAGATCAAATTTTCTCTATGATTAGGCCGCCTCTGTCGGCTGATGCTTAATAAGTGACCTTTTCCAAAGCTATTTTTTATTGTCAAGTTTTTCTTATGAAATTGTATATTTATATTTAACACTGCTTGTGAGTAAAGCATCATTCTAATATAATGGTTTTAGTTTTATAACTACAGGTTTATTTCTTGGGAAATAAGCCCGTCCCGCTCTCCAGTGTTAGAAAAAGATGTTTGTGTACCAAGGTTTATACTATTTAGTTTAGCCATAAGTTCTAACTTTCAGACTTTTATCGCGTACTGTACTTGTTTTCACGGTCATGGTACAATAAGATTAAAAAGACACATTATACATGATGTATGATGATATTTTGATATCTTTTAAAGTACACCGATGTAGGATACATCGTGGCAACATGTCAGATACCGAAAACAGATTCAGATCTTCTTCTCGGCGCACGTGGATTATATGCCAACAAAGCAGTCCGAACGAGCAGTTGATGTAGCAGTTGCACACAAAACACCGGGTTGGCTGATCAAGTCGCTCTGTCACCTGCGAATATTCAAAAGTAACGGATGCGTCTTTGACGTTTTCGCATTGCCGCCGGGATTTATAAAGACTTGGTGTGTTCGCTGGCTCCATTGCTCCACCGCTCTCAAAACCTCCGCGAAGGATTCATAACGATTTCCCACTTTAAGTTCTGACGCCATAACGGCTGAGAGTTGAGAATACTTGAATTATCAGAAAATGTAAAATGCCGATACGGTCAGATTTTGCATTTCGTGCACTAAAAGGTGACCTTCCGTAATTATTGGTTGCCATGTCGTGATAAACACGCTGATTCAAACTGTTTTTTGTTAGTTTTTTTTTGTGCGGGGAAAAACTCTCGCGCGTAGTCAATACATAGCGCGAGATACAGTACTCTCGCGCGCAGCGCGGGAGGCTCTCGCGCGTAGCAATTTCGTTGAAAGATTTCAAAATATTCAGCGTGGTAAATGTTTATAATTATATCACTATTATCTGGCCTTCATTTTCCTATCTTAGGCATTACCGTATCGCCTCTTTTGCGATAAGGCTTAGTTTTAAGTTTTCAACGTATTACATCATAATAGGAAGTACATTTAGACAGTATTGTACAATACTGTCCATAACCAACCGAACGTCGAAACGGCTACGCTTTTTATGATAACCGAAATCTTTTACGCCGAAATGGAAAGACGCCGTGATAACCGACAGTTTTGAAAATAAAGGGTAGCGCTCCGGTCTGCCAATAAACAAATTGTTGCATTTACTGATTTACAGTACTTATGGTTATCCGTTATTGTATACGATATACATAAATAAGTTGACTTACCAAGCACCCTTTTTGTGATTGTATGATAATGGTGAATTTATTGTCTTCGTGCGACGGAGCAGTACGAGTACACATTTTGATTCTAGTAGTTATGTCTTTCGAAACCAACGTCACCACCTGAATTTATGGAGAAAGCAAGTAGTAAGAAACGGCTGACGGGCGGAATTTCTTCAAATCCGAAAATTTCCCAGATTCAGCGTAGCATGGCAAAAATGTTCGAACCCAAGAACGATTCTTAACCTAAAAGCTTCCCCTAACAACTCACCGTTGCGATACAGTAGCTGGTGCTTTTGCCCGTTGTAAAAAGACAAAATACGACAGCGAGAACATATAATTATGTAAACAATTATACGGTATAAATACCGCTCACAAAGCATTTCCATTAAAAAGTAAAAAAAGCCCTTCGCTGCATATAACAGTAGTGACAGAAACTTAATTTCCCTATTTCAACCTCAAGGCGCAGCCGTCGACAAGATCCTTTAGAGGGAGTTTATCGGGCTTGCAACAACTCTGTTTCTGCGTGCTTCTCCCTCCCCTTGATACGCACGTGCTAGACTGCTAGTACGGTAGTACTAGCACGCACGCAGCCACGCAGTATCTTCGCATAAACTGGTCGCCAGCTTGCTGCTGTCCCAGGTGGCAGCAGCTCACACTGGACCACTAACGGCTTACTACGACTAGACGGCACCCGCCCAGTGTAACCGTTACAGTCAATCGCCCAAGCTCCTGCTCACTGTTAGGGCAGCGGACAACCGCTCACGGTGGCATGGCAAGTCCAGTAAATTCGCTTCTTCCGTAACGGAAGTTCCGTTTGAATCACACCGCCAGCGCCCTACCAAAACAAGCAACGACAACAAACTGGCCGGAAATTTGACCGTATAAGAGATAAAAAGTACAAAGTGCAATAAAATAATTAAGTAAAATAAATTTACATCAGCAAGGCGGAAAGAAATGCTAGTGGAAGTACCGTAATAAAAAAAAAGTTTAATAATAATCGGATTTAACGCCCAGGCGTTAAAATTAATAGGATTAACGCTGCAAGAGGCGTGCAACAACGGAAAAGCCCTCCCGTATACGTTCCTGGGTCACGTTGCCAATTTCTGAATCAGTTTGCATTGTTAAAAAAAATCGCAGCCCTCCCATTCGGCCCTTATCTTTGGACACGCACAGCAGATGCGTTATTTGTCGATACGAGTGCAGCGTGATGTCCATGGACCATGGGTAAAAGTTTGTCTGTCGTTCGGCACGTAAACTACGAGTATTTCAATTCCACTAATTTCCAGCGGTATTGCACGCGCGCTCAGGGCAAATAATGTGGTTCACAACCACCGCTAGTTTACAGCAACCATGTTCAAATCTTGTTCCTTCGAAAAATGCCACATGCTGTAAGCCCACAAGTTGCCAGCTTTAAGAACACTGAGCAGTGCTGCTTCTTCAGTTATAATTGATAAATTTTTTTCGCATCGTTATTGTTTGTTTTATTACGGCACAACTAAAGAACTCTACAAGGGATTTCAAGTCGGGCCAATCGAACAGTCACCTTTACGTCACCGTCACCACATACTTGTCGAGAAATTATGGGCGCATGAAGACAGCGAAAAATGCACATTTGTGGGTTGCGGCAGACTACCGCCGGCAGTCTACTGTACATACCACGGCGCGCCTCTAGCTAGCCACATTTTTTACACGTTACCTGAATTAGGCATGACTGGTGCACGTCAGATGTCTATTTATCCATAATTAATATGTCTTTTTTGTTGTTTTACTCGTAATATACATACTTGAAATAATATTGGAACTATTAATTGGTATTGCATGAAATAATTATTATTGCGAAAACTGTAGTGTAGTGGCCATCAATCTGATGCCAATAATTATAGCGCTTTGCGTATAATATGTGCACTGCATGTATCTTTACGCCCTTAATTCCTCGACAAGCCCAGTTTATCAACTTGGTACATTTGTGAAATTTTTACTATGTTATTAGAACTTATTACTTATTAGGCGCCATCCATAAATTACGTCACGCAAAAAATTGAACATTTTGATACCCCCTCCCCCTGTGTCACTAATGCTAACAAACCGAGATCCCCTCCCCTGAGCGCTACGTAACAAAATTAGAACCCCTCCATCGATATAGCATGTTGACGTCATAATCGTAACAAATTTTAGAAGCCCCCCTCCCCCTTGAAACAAACAGTAACGCTTTCAGGACCTCCCCCCTCCCACTACTTGCGTGACGTAATTTATGGATGGCGCCTTACACCCTTTTTAAGAAAAATTTTGTCTGGTTGAGGTATGTACGTCAACCATGGCTTATCGCATGGCTTACCGCTCAGCGGGTGCAGTTTCCCAATTTTCCGCTTAGAGCGCCCTCTGGCCTGGCAACCAGCCGCATTCCGCCTCGCTCCAAGTGGACCGCCCAGTGCGCAGAGCATATGCTATTCCGCATCGATTGCAGAGTTGGCCGTCAGGCTCAGCATTTTGCAGACTAGACTCACCGCCTCAGCGCTCGCCGTCTCAGGCCCGTCTCGTGCGGCACGAGTCGTGCCGTATCGTTCATGTCTCAGGCAGTCTGAGAAGTGTTTGTTTGGGTTTTCACGATTTCCTGGATATCCCTGGATAAATCATTTTCCACAGATTTCGCGCTTATCTATTTGTCCTCTGTATCGAGCCACGTTATCATTGAATCTGTCTGACTCACAAATCAGTGCGCGGGATCATGGAGCACGTTCCGGGCAAACGGCGATCATCGTCGGGAGAGCCAGGATCGCCGAAGAAAGCGAAGAGAGTGGAAGAAGAAACAGTATCTGTTTTTCGGCAGTATGACATTCTTTTAAAAATTGGTAAGAGGATTACCTTAACTGGGAGCCCGAATACCGAAGCAGCAGTGTTTGCCCAGCGAGGAACAGTGGAACACTATTTTTTTGTCGCTGAAAGGATGTCCTAATCAGCTAATCTGGGGAATTTTTTTATTTTTTTTAGAAAGTGTTGCAATTATCACCTTCTCCAAACTCGAAGAACTGCTCGGAGCAGAGAAGCAGCTGACTGCCAAAAACCTGCTGGAAAGTTTGAAGGCAGGCGTGATCAACTGCTGGTCAGCTTTGGAATGGTTCATCGCAGCTGACAGCCTGGTTCGCCGACGAGTCTTAGGCACGGTGGTGGAGGTGCGCATGGCAGCCTCAGCCGGCAGCGAGCAGATGTTTAATTTAGGGTAAGTGGGAGTGTACTCGTTTTATTATTTTTCATGATTGTGTGGTATTGGGTTGTTTTATATTGTTGTATTTTTTTCATATTTTTGTTGTGAATTTTTTATTTTTCAAGTATTGTTTTATTGTTGATATTTTTATAATCACTTTTCAAATTAAGTATTGAAAGAATTTTGTGCGGTGTTTTTTTTTTTGTTTTTAGTATGATATATCGTTAGCGTTAAGTAATAATATACAGTATTTATCGGGCGGCTGAAGAAAATGGCCGTCTCCGTTTTACGTTTATTTCTCGCGAACGATTTGTCGCACCGTATCGTGTTGACAGTCGTTCGACAGAGAATTTTACTTACTACCAAAATTTTAATTACTTGATGCTTGCGCCTGGTGCGCTGTACATTTAGCGCATTTCGTCACTTTTCGAAAAAATTTCACTTTTATAACCTGATATTTTAGGCATTTTTGCTACAATTTTTTTGCTGCCTGGTAGAGTGAAATAGGAAATTAATGTCGGCTTAACTGAAATATGTAGCTAAGGCCTTGCTGTAGTAGAAACTAGTTTGGTGCAGATCAATACTTCTTGCATTAGAAAGGAATTGATTTTGAAACTCTACTTCCGTTTCACTAGAATTTCATTTGCATGGCCTAAACTGACTCGTCTCCTGGCCGAACGCAATCACCGGAAAACCACAACTCTTAGCAGCAATAAAACAGGAAACAACTGCCCTACCAAAAACTGTAATGCAAAATACTGCCATCTACTTAGCTGAGTAACAGCAATTTTTAATTTAGAAATAGGGAAATTTGAAATTTGGTTTCCGGGACATCCCCAAACTCCACCTAATTTTTCAAAATAATTTACTGTTAAATTAGATCTTTATATAGGGCTAGTGTAACTTAACTTTTGTATGTAGTAAAGATTGCTCTTTCGAATAAAATCAATACGCTGCCAATCAGACATTAGATTGACTCAGTACACCGTGAAAAATCAGACGGCCATTTTGTTCAGCCACCCGGTAGTAAGTGGCTTTCCCTTGCATGGGTCAGGCCATCGTTAAAATGCGTTTATATCCAAGTCCATACTTTTTGTCTGGTAAAAGTTTTTATTGGGTTATTCACAATAACATAGGCTAAATGCAGTTCTCAACATATAATAATGTGGTCGATCCACTGGAACGGTTAGTACATATTTACAAACCGTAAAATTAATGATATCAGTCATAGTACTATAATAAACAGAAAAAATATTTATATGAAAATTGTAGATAGTATTTTTTAAATAGAAAAAGAAAGCATAAATATTTTTGCATCTTTCTGTAAAGGGTGTGGTATAAAGTGTTGAGACGCCTGTAGTATTTACACGGCTCGTCCAGGTGAAGCATGCGCGGCGAGTGTCCATACATTTTAAATTCTAATGTGCATGTCAAGAAAAGGAAGATTTATCGACTCAGTTAATAGTGCACTCCATGGCCGGCTTGGTTGTAATAGCATTAGAAAATTTAGTTGATATTTGTGCTGCTATGTTAATTCGTGTACAGAGTAGTATGCGCGGACGTTGAAGATGCAGCATTTAATTTTTTGCGAAAATACGCTGGGCAAGACAAAAAAATTTCAAAAAAAAATTTTCAAAAATTTTTTAAGGAGACTGTGCCGTTGGTATTGAATCAAAATATTAATTTAAGGAGTGGTCTTAGGTCTGCTGTTGTATGAATAAATAGCCTGTTTATAGTATTTTCTGTTTTAGTTTTCAGTAGTATAATCTGCTAACTTTATTTTCCTGCATTTAAGCACATGACAGCGTCATATATTGACATCAACTTGAGCGAATTAAATATCCTTTCTAATTACATAAGATAAAATTTAAAAAAAATGGACACCTGAATTTAAATAAATAATTAAATTTAAATAACTTGATTGGCGAAGCGCATTCTACTGCTTTTCTCAAGCAGCGTTTTCGTTCAGCTATTGCTAAAGGAAACGCTACGGCTGTTCTGATCACATAACCATTTAACTCTAGAGAGGGGTAGGAAGTTTGGTTGTTTTTTTAATGTTTAAAATTTTTGTTTTAACCATGAAGTAATTTGCAGCGCTTGTGATTATTTTTATTTCGGTAGCTACAAGGCGTCAATAAGTAAGTTGAGCCATAAATCTGAATATGTAAATTTTTTTTAGCGATATCCCGACCCGATACAAGGACGTGGGTGTGACTTTTACTGCAGTGGCACCGCTTCGCCCGAATGCCTCCGGATTGCCGTCAGACAGCGATACTGTTTCTGCCGCCACCCCATCCACGTCCCAGGGTATCGGGTTTTCAGTCGGCGCGATTCTTCAGGTAGATTCATTCTTCGTGCATGTGGCGAAATACATTCGAGTTTCGCCTGGTCCCGACTACGTTACCGCCTTGTGGCAGGTTACCAGATACGCAGATAAACATAATTAGTAACAGCAGATATCGTGACGTTTCTGTAAGTTTTCGACAGAACAGATTTTTGGCACATTTGTAAATAATCATATAATTGAAAATTTTTCCCTGACAGGTTTCTGTATTTTGTATGCGCATACACGAAGTATGAATCTACCTTATGAAACAGTGAAAGTATTAAAAATTTATGTCAAAATAAATTTCGGTTACTGAATTTGTAATAATTATAAAAAACATAAATACTAAGTTGTATTGTTTGTAATTAGGGCCGGCGTCGTGAGAGTTTTAAAGTTGTCATCGGAGTGCTAGGCGAAACGCGCTACATTGTTGTCATCAACGGTAAGACAAATTCTGTTATAATATTTTCTTATTTTTTGATTACCTATATCTGTAACTCCCAGCAGGTATCCTGTTATGTATTTTTAATAATTAATAAATTTTGATAAGATATTCTTCTTAAATTTACTGTCATTCATAAATTGTTACGCGATCCTTTATTGATAATTTTTCATCATCCACTAAACTGTCACGTTTCGCAGAATTGTAATGGTACGGTTTTGCATGCGTAGACTATGTTCCGGCGCCGGCGAAGATGGAAGTGCTGGTGTTGAAGCACGACGCCCAGCATGCCGCCCATAATGTGCAGCGCAACGGTGACGGCTCCGACGACGACGTGCAATTCATTGGTGCCTTTGGCCCGCAGCAGGCCGGCCAAAAGTCGGAGGAGACCAAGGACGCCGCCGATAAGAAGAGCAAGGACGCTGCGCAGGCCGCCATCGATAACACACTCCAGGCCAGCGACGCCAGCAACACGAAGGTCAACCAGCAGCTGGATAAGGCCGAGGATGCCGTGCAGGACAACCGCAGCTTCCTGGAGCAGGCCAAGGAGGGCGCGGCGCACGCGGCCACCGTCGTGGGGGACAATGTGCAGTCGGCGGCTGCTGTCGTCGGTACGTCACATTAATTTCGTATTAATTTACAATACTTTGTAATAATTTTCCAAAGCAGTTAACCGTGATGATTTTCTACATTTTTTTCCATCTGTTGCTTGCCCTTCATTAATTTTAATTTTCTAGTAGTTTCTTTATAATTCCTTAATAATTTCTAAATAGGTTCCGAGCTTCGAACTAATGCCCTAATATTTTCCTAAATATTTTTTATAATGCCTTAACATTTGTCGATTTTTTCGTCGCGGTTTCTTAATGAATTTTTAACATTTTGATTTATTTCTGAATTCCTCTATAATAATTCATGAACTGCCGGATCTTGTTGTTGAATTCCCTTGGCCTGGTCCTGGTTACAGTCACTTGACATAAATCAGTCCTGTGTCCATACTTCGGGATTTATTTTATTTTTTTAGATTTCGCATGCATTCGTTTTTTGTTACAGTTTTCGACTAGTTGTTTTTACTTATTGCTTTCGTTTTTAAAAATTTCTTTGTAAGCCGGCTTGAACGAGCTAATCGTTAATGTGCGCTTGGTTTTTAACGAGCGATCGATTTCCGCCTTAAATTGACTACTAGCTGCCACGCAGTACAGGCATTCCGCCAGTATGCGCACAACTTAATTTCTATGGTTTTCTTTAGGCGGATACTCTGCCGCAGCGACTGGGGACACCGCGCATCTCGCCATGGCCGCCTACGAGAAGGTGACGCCCGCGCTGGATCCCAATGCGCCCGCGACGACCGGCGACGGGGGGAATGTGCCGTACAAGAAGGAGGAGAAGACCGTCATCGAGCACAATGTCAACAAGTAGACGCGCACCCTGCATTTCCCTTTATTTATTCCTCTGAACTAATCATCTCGTCTCTCTCGCGCGGTCGCTGTACAATCAAACACGGTTCCAACTGATTAAGACTATTGTCTGTGCATTCCTGTTTATTTTTCGAATTTCGGTTCCCTTTTTTTGTATGAATTTTCGTTGGTGTGGAGCAAACGTCATCGAGGATGTCGATTAGTTTTTTATGCGTGCCTTGTTCTTTCCTAAATCCTAAAAATTAATGATCTCTGAACAGTAATCTACAGCGTCTTTTGAGAGCGCCTTTTTTAATTCGTTTTTTTTGCTCACTGGTGTGGTAAAAGTTTATTATTTTTGTACTGGATACTGGTTTAGAGTGATTACTAGAGCATTAAAGATTGCTTCATTGGTGGATTTTAGTGGTACTATTTTTGGTGTGAGTTTTCGCAGCAAGTTTTATTAAAGATTGTAAAAAAATAATCAGACAAGAAATTCCATATACATAGTATCTAGACTGCAAATTTGCATTTAAGTATTATTGTATTTTCTCAGTCGCAATCTCGTCGGCTTAGTGGTTTTACGTCGTACCAAACCAAATATGATTATTCCGAACAATAAATTATATGGCCTACAATCACATTCACAAACCTAATACGAAACCGCAACGATTTAATACTCTCTGAATCGCGCACATTTACATTAACATAACCAGGAACAAAGCGCGGCGATATTAAATTAATCGCGAATATTGTAAAACACGCAACACAATATTGAAACAAACGCTCCCGTAATCCCCGCCTCCATCACAGCATTCCTGTACAAATCAGCGAGAATCCTGCGCATCCGCTTCCCCCACGATTGCTGCATCACACAAGCCGAACGAAAAAAAAATCCACGCTGCGCAACCAGCGCTGCAGGTTAGAAAACCGGAAGAAACATGCAAAAAATAAACAGCAAAATCGGCATTTTAGCCACACCGGGAATTCCGTAATCCAATAATAATCAGATCCACAACTGTGTTTGTGTCGGCGCAATTATCCATGAATCCATATATCACACGAAGCTTAGCGAGGTCCAGCGAAGCGCACCGTAGACAGCCCACGAAAAAGAAAGGAATAACAGGGGAAAATGGGGTAATGTATTATTCACCGGAAGGAGGTATCACGTTGTCGATTTGAGATGCGGTGCCGGTTTTGATCAGGCTGCTCTGCAGCGTCTCCAGCGCCGTGCTAATCTACAATCATCAGATTCATGCTGTAAACAATTTCTTGAAAAACTCCGGGTTTAATTTGAAATTACACTATTGAGAAATCAAACTTAGGTACAATCATGTATTCAGAATATTATTCACACATTACACTAAAATCTATCTATTTAGAAATCCTTATTCAGAAACTGTACCAATAATTTACTTCTCTGGAATTTAATTCTTAAATTATACTAATAATTTATTTATTGAAAATTTATAAATTAAAAATTGTACTAGTACCTCGTAATTCGGAATTTACGAACCAACAAGATTTAATTAACAAGCACAGAAGTTACCAACTTTTATGTGCACAGCTACCGGGCCAGACTCGTAGTGAAGGTTGATGTATTCCTGCTATATTTAATAACAACACAAGCAGCTTTAATTTTCAAACAAAAAATTAACTGCAATTAGCAAAATTATTAATTATAATAACATCGTTATTAATATTTAACAGTCACTGTGTGCCAACTTATCACATCGTCTGTGTGCCCGCTGTAAAATTAAGCAATATGGTAGTGCAATGGCGATATAACCGTGCCCTCCAAAATGTCTCTATCATGGCTAAGGTTATATGATTCAGCAATACGGTCTGGTTGTAACAATAAACACATCAACTGGCACCTTTACTTTGACAATTTTTTAAAAAAAGGACATTCCCAGTAATAACCTGGTGATTTTTTTATAAACTTACAATTAATTCCGCTAAACATCAGTACTCCTACGCTATCCACAAAGCTTAACTGCTCACTTAAAATGCTCATCAAGTATTAAACCGAACTATAGATCAAATAAAGAATTTAAATTAATCATTTTTAACTGATTACTCATAATATCAGGTTTTAATTCCAGTAAAATTTCTGAAAACTTTCTCTCGACACGACTAGGCTATCAAGGCATAATGCTTTTCGTGAACGAAATTAATTACAGTATCAGACTGACTTAGGCGTGAAATATTACGAGTATCAGCTTTCACTACCATAACCGGATTTAATACTGTATTATTATTAAACAAAAGGGAATATTACTGAACACACCTTGCGTAAGCCACTGAGAACACTGCCCAGTCCCTCATTGACATCCTTGAGCAAATGCGCGTTCCCCGTATCCGTCATGCTGGCGCGCAGTAATTCCATCCACTCCTGCTCGCCCACGCCCTCCCTAATCACGACAACACGCTTGTATTAATCGCCGCATCAACACAACAATGCTCGTATTTTTCGTCAGGTTTATTCCAATTTACCGCGGCGTCATCCGCTCAAATCCCGGCATCGGACCGGGTGGGCAGGCCGCGGGGGCTGGCGGCGGCAGGGGCGCGGACGGGGCGCTGTCCTGGCCTTCCCACACGCGCCAGTACAGCAGGGCGTTGATTAACAACAAGACAATAATGCTGCAAAAACAAAATAAAAATATGTCAAAAAAGAATTCGTTGAATTATCTAAGTCAGTGTACTACGACGCACTATTTTATCAGTCAATATTCCCAGTATTCGGTGTTTGTTAAGTTATCAAATTACTATTAGTAAGCTATCAGTGGACGAGTTTAACGCTTAAATACGGTATCATTATTAGCCATCACGCCAAACAAAGTTTTAGTGATGTGAAAAACTGTGAGATTATTTTTCCATGAAAGCAGAAACGGCGCCCAGTCCCAGAAATTATGTCCCAGAAATTCCTTACCGCAAAAAAATCCTTATTTCTAATCTCAAGCTTTCGTTAAAGAAATCTCAATTTACAAAGTAAAATACAGTAGATAAAAAAATAAAACAACTTACAGTTACAGCGCTCTACTAGCACGTCGCAAATTTCCACACAGGCGTAAATATTTCTTACCCACACCCAGATGTTACTACGGCCCCTGCACTACGATCATCACTTTACAATGTCTTTTTCTCACAACAAGAGAGGGATCTCCAAGCCTCCAAGGCGACGTTAATAATCATTAATACAGTGGAAAATAAATTTTTTATTCCAGAAATATTCTGAATGTCGATAGAGAACACGGTATGGGCGGTGACTTACAGGTAGACGAGCTTCTTGACTTTGCCGTACTCCAACTGCGTGACAAAGAACGTCCCGGCCGTTCCCTCCGGCAGGCCATCGGCCGCAACATGGTGGACACTCGCTACGGCACCACCACCCCACATCAGAATTCATTTGGCAATTATTTTATTCTTTATTCCTTTATTTTATTATTATTCTTTATGATTTATTTATTTTATTAGTTGTAATAATGGTAATAAATCATCCCACTTACTGCGACTGCGGTGTCGCAGCAGCGAATGGGGACTGCCCGGCACCGCGCTGGCTGCCCCGCCCGCCGTCGTCTCCTCGCCTTCCCCGTGATGCGAACCGGTGCGGGAGCGACCCACCCGCAACGTGGCGTCCGAAGTCGAGCCGGGGATCTCCTCGTGGCCGGCGGTGGCCAGCTCAGCTTCGTACGTCACCAGACGACTTTCTGTAAACAGCAACAAAATCAACCACACGGTAAAAAAGCCGAGAATACATTCCCGGTGAACGTATCGGCTACCGGTAACAGAAACCCACAAACGGTTACAAACACGGCTTCTTAACAATATGTAGTTAAAACACCGGTTTTCGGTTATCCGTTCTACAATAAAAATTAAAGGTGCAACATAAATCCGAAATTTCTAAAAAATCGCAAAAATATTTATTAGATTCGTAAATCGTGGTTTGCGCAGTAAATTAGTGTAAATCCTCACATCGGACTGAGATTTTCAGTCGGCCACTACACTACAACATTTGTCAACATGCTATGCGTAACTGCTAAAAAAAATGTTGCTGCGACAGTTAACGCCTGAGATAACGACAGTTATCGCCTTACGTACTGAGATCAGAGAAATAGTCGCGCAGCTGGTCCATCACGCCCTTCTCCAGCAGCGCCTTGACCGCCCAGTTGGCCTTGCGAAAGACGATTTCGGTTACGACACGCAAACGGCTGTTCTTGCTGTCCAGCTTATGCACCATGTAGTGCGTCACGACGGAAAAGCTACAAATACACAAGACTCGCAGGAAGAATGTAAAAATAATCACGTAAAATAAAATAATAATGCAGATAAATCCAGAAAACAATGTAGGAATAATCAGGTAGAAAAATCCAGAAAAATCACCGGCCAATTTACCTATCGCTGTACGGAGCGCCGTGATTCTGGGCGACCGAGTCCACCAGATGCAGCCGGCCCGGAACTGATTCCTTGAGGAGCGTCTAACAAATTCAACGAAATGTTTGTTATGTCGCGCAATTACCTCAGAAGGATCGTTCGAATGATCTACCTGTCGTTCTTCCGTCCGAATGGTCTTCGGTCCGACGGAGATGCAGTACTTCACATCTCGCACCTGGCAGTCATTGCTGGGATCCAGCACCCACTGGCCGAATTTCGTATCAAAAATCTTTCGTCGCAGGAACATTTCCTGAAAAACGCACATTCATGATAACATAACATTTGATTCTCACAGTCACAAGGGTAATTAATGCCAGGTAAATGACATCCTAAGCAGTAAAGCGGCAACAAGTTCTATAGTTGACAGCAATCGTAGTGCAGCGGTTCAATAGAGGTCCCCGTGGTCTTAGCATTGGAAAAGAAGCAGAATTTTCAATATAGTCAAAATCACGTTAACAAACTATATTGATGTATTTTTTTAATATTATTCTGTATTAGAGAAAGTGGAAAAACTATAGAAATGCATTTTACATGTGACAAAGATGATAGAAATGTACATTCTACCGGCCCCTTCATACTACTTTAGTCCGCGTTATAATAAGCCAGCGCAGGTAGAAATAATAAAATAAATAATAAAATGATAGAATAAACAGATAATAAAATGATAAAAGTAAAAACATCTAAAACAAATAAAAATAAATAAATGGCACTAAATAATAAAATGATAGAATTTAAAAAATTATTAAAAACAGCGAATATTACAGCTAATTCTCTCTTCCGCTATTTACCTTCAGCAGGGTGGATTCGGAAAACAGCACCAGGAACAGTTTATCAAACGGGACGTGGAATTCATGATCGATAAATCCCTGCGCCCCACTGGGCACCGGGGGAATGAACACCGGCTGCTGCTGGGCCTCCTCGCCCTCCGCCGACGCCCCACTACTCGAACTGCGGCTGGATCCGGACCCCACACTGCCGCTGCGGTTGCGCACCAGCTCCGGCGGGCCACACGGGCCCACACTGAACACCGGCCCGGCGTCCATCATCTCCGTCTCCAGCTTCTTGTCGACGGCCCCGTTGGGCAGCGGGAACTCCCCGCCCCCGCCTTCCTGCTGGTGCTGGGCGGCCTGCGCTTCCGCCTCCGCGGCGCCGTTGACTGCCGAGATCAGCTCGGGCAGGGAGCGGAGGTAGGCCGGCTGCACGTAGTCCTCGTCGTCGCTGGTCAGGCCCAGGTCGTCGCCGTACTGGTAGTGGATGAACGACCACATTTCCGGCGGGCTCATCGGCTGCATCATTACACACCCATTTACATTTCCTAATTAATTTTCTCTTCTCTTTTTATGCTAATCGATGGGCCTGTTATCAGTGGTTAGTGGATAAAAGAAAGCCGCCCAAGCGGTAAAAAAAACGGCAAGTTTATCACTACAAATTAATTTGCGTCTGCGCTTTTTTGCCTGGTGCGCTTCCCGTTTCCTCGCTTACAGCCAGTTTTCTATGATGCTAGTTGCTCTGCAAACTCTTCCAGTACAAATCTACAGGAAATCAGGCACGTCTGTTAAAAATCAGACAAAATCGATACTTAAGCTATTCAACAATTTTCTCGATCTTTGCAACCTGCTTTAAATGTGCGCAAAATTGTGATTCTCTATATTTTTTTATTGTGATTCTCCAGATTGTCATCGTACGGATAATGGATGAACGACCACATTTCCGATGGGCATCATGGTCTCATAGGGGCAGACAATGCACAGAACTCTTTTTACACAAAATTATATTTTTTTTAATTATATTCATTTCTGTTCTATTTTTAGGTCACTCGCTGGGTCTGTTATCAGTGAATGACAATAAAGCGTAAAAAAACCTGAAAACTGTTAAGTATCACAACATTACTACTCGTAATTCGTGCCTGTGTTATGCTGTCTACACGCGGCATTCAACAATGCCTGGAACGGTTTAGTTTACAACCACACTACTACGAATCGCTCCCAGTACCAAGTACGTGATCTGGCACACTTTTTTTAAAATCAAAAGAAAACGATGAATTTAATTTGTAGCAAACATATACGATACTTTCCGACATTTTTAAACTGTTTCATGCGCGCCAATTGTGTTTTATCTGATTTTTTATTATGCAGCGGATTTTGGCCTGATCGCGCTGGTCAGGCCCAGATCGTCGCCGTACTGGTGTGGATGAATGACCACATTTCCGGCGGGCTTATCGGCTGCAGACGATACACAAGGAATTTTGTACACATAAATTACATTTTTTATAATAATTATGTCATCTTTGTAGGCTAATGCTTGGGCCGGTTAGCAGTGAACAACAGAAAAAAGCAAGGAAAAAAAAGTAAAACTTATACCCCACTACTACTTTCAATACGGTGCCTCTACTATTGTACATATATATTGCCAAATGGGCCACATTTGAACAGACGATGGACTTATGAAAATTGCAGCCACTTTTCTACAATGTTATCCGTTATACGGACTTGTGCAGTACAAAAGTGTCAGATCTGCCAGTCAATTTTCTCTGGAATAAAAAAATTTATCCACTGAACGAAAAACTTCATTGCTGCAATTAAAAACACATTTAAAACTTTTGAACCTGTTTCCATGCGCGGCAAATTTGCACTGATTTTCTACTATGCAGCGGATGCACTGCCATCAGAATTTATCGTAACACTATAAACAGTTAAAATCAGCTGGAAGTTTTCCAACAGGAAAACTTTCAGCTAAATTTTTAGCAAAGAGGCGGTGAAAAATGCTGTAACCTTGCCCATGACCAGATAATGTAACTTAACAGCGCCATTTAATACGTACCTGATTTTTCACGGCGCCCTGCCAGATCCGGTACAGATTGGTGAAGGTTTTATCGCGCTGTCCGAAAGACGTAAAATAATACTGCTCCTGATCCGTTGCGTAGCTGATAGCGTTCGGAATGATCTTGGCGGTGCGCTCCTTGTTTAGCGCACGCACATTCTTCCACGACGTACAAATCTGTAACCATTAATACGTCTCTAGAATAAAGCCGCAATTTTAAATCGATTTTATTCCATTTACAAATTATATATTATTATTTAATTATACCATTTTCTTTCTTAAAGAATGTAACGAAATTTATATACCACAGCTTATTTGCCTGAATCAGAAAATTTGAATACGATTAGTTATAAAGCAGATGCTTCACAAAAACCGCAATTAATTTAGAACTTTTCAAACCATTTATAGGTTATTTTGTACACAGAAAACTCCAGATAAATTTATTTCATATAGGACATTTATAGATTTTTTGTATAACTACAATTTATAAATTTTTCCACACATATTAAGAAAATAAAAAAAAATGGAAATACACATACGTTCGTTTCCCAAGCGATAATCTTGGCATAAAAGCAAATATGGTTCTGCGATGCATACAGGCGGCCCTGCACCAGAATATCACGCTGCAGTGCACAGGAATAATCTGCAAATAAAAATCACAAAATTCATCAGAAAAAGGTGCGGCGGGAATTACCCAATTAATTTCAAAATTAAATTTTCCCCATTTCCCACCGTCATTGTCAGGAAAACGAATTCGGGTAATTCTTCACCGACAATGATCAACAGAAAAAATTTATTTTTTATCAGTGTACCGATCAGTAGGCGTTCGCCTTCCGGAATGCTGGGGAACAGCCGACGGAACTCTTCGCTGCGTTGTTTGTACGTAGGATACAGCGACTAACACAGAAGAAAAAATACGCATTAGAAAATTATACCACGGGATAAGCGTATGAAGAATGCAAACCAACTGTGTAACATAACCAACTATATAAAATTTACGATCCTGCTGTACCTTTATGCATAACAATAAAAAGTTACGTATTATCTTAAAAACTACTCGTACAAGTAGTACACGGATGAGGCGCAAGCTTAGGTAGCCGAAGGAACAACCTTGTGCCACTGTTCTACAATGCCGCTACTAAACTTCTGACAGCCGATAGGAGTATCAAACCAACATATACATATCCAAACGTATAAAATATGTGTAAAATACACATAAAACGCGAAAAAAATATAAAATGTAATAGATATGTGAACAAAATGTAATAGGTATGTGTAAAAAAATATGTGTACGAATAAAATATGGAAAAATGTGCAACATTAATGATAAAATTAAAAAAAGTGTACAAAAAAATGCATAAAATGTACCTGGTACCAGCGTTGCTGGCGCTTCTTATCGGAGCTCTTCCCGCTCTTCCCGGCCGAACTAGCGATGGAACTGGCATCGGAGTTATGCCGCACCACCAAACTACTGGGCGTCTGCTGTTGCTTCTTCTCCCCACCGCCCGCCGTCCCATTACTCCCACCCGACGACTTCTCCTTCCCCTCCTCCGAACTCTTGGTGGACGACGCACTGCCCAGACTGACCTCCTCGGCACTGGCGCCCTGCGGACTGATCAGGGGGGTCAGGGGGCGCTCCACACTGCCCTCGCGGCTATTTGCGCCGCTGGGCACCTCCTGACTGTTGTCGAAGCTCCCGGACTGCGAGGCGCCCTCCTCCTTCTTCTCGAACGCGATACTGACCGCCGAGGGGCTGGCGGTGGAGTAGGAGGCCACAAAATCTCCGATCTTCCCCGGGGAGTCCTTGTCGTTGCCCGGGGAGGGGCTGGGGGATTTGGCGCGGTCCGTGTCGCGGTGGCGGACGCGAGGCGGCGCCGTGGGGCTGGCCGGGACGCTAACGGGCGGGAGGTGGTACTGGTCGGGCGCCGAGAGGGCGATATCCGGGAGCGCGGGACTGGAGGCCCTCCTACACCGAAAAAACTTGAAAAAATGTGGATGGGAGGGGGTTACTGATTTTACCGAGCGTTCTGCGGGGAAGCCGAGAGCAGCGGGGACTTCCGGGGCTCCGGGAGGTCGAGCGGGGCCTCCTTCTCAGCGGGCACCCCCTCCACGGTGGTGTCCATCTTCGGGGGGTAGGTAATCACCGCCAGGGGGGAGGGCGGGGATTGTAAGCCAACCAGTAGGGGCAGGGTTTTCAACTGCAACGATAAACGCTGACTGATGCGTTTACTGATCTCCTCCATGGCGCGTTAATTAACACCGGGGATCCCGCGCGTAATCAACAGCCCGCGGGATCATATCCCACGTCAATGGGGGGCGGGAAGTAAGACACTCAGGATTCAAGCAATCAATATAATGTGAGAAAATACAAGTACCACATTTCCGTGTTCAAACAAGGGGTAACTAAGCAGCAGAGTGGATTCGAAATTTAATATGAAAAGTGGAGAAAATATGACTATGACATCAAAGTTTGCAGACAGGGGAATAGACTACGTGTGCCACACGGTACATGCCGGTGGTAAATAGTGATTTGGTGAATTTGAATTGGAGACTGATAAGGTTATCGCGGGTGTATGGCTGCTGCGCGATCAGGTGAGGGAACGGGGACGGCGCAGAAATTAAGCAATCAATCCGGGTTAAAAGGCTGTTAAACTGTTTACCAGTTTGTGTAATTTCCTGTGCCCTGATAAAGCCGTCCAGGAAAATATCCGCGTAATCAACATAACACCAGTAAACAGTGTAATACTGCAATACCCGCAAAGAAATCCACAGAAAAGAAAAGGGACGAATAATCAAGAGCAAAAAGTTTAGGAAAAATTCCGGAAAATAAAATGTTTGCTATATTTTCTGCCAGTAAAAACAATAAAATAACTTGTTAAAATATACAACTTAAATAAAACGAGAAATAAAATGCTAAATAAAATGTTAAACAAAATCTTTGATATTCTTTCTGCAAATAAAAGCGTTTTTGGCAATCGATAACGCATCGAAAAAAATCAAGGATAACAAAGATTTTTGCAGCATGTCAAAAGCCACGGGAAGTAAAAAAGGGGCTTTTCAAATCTGAATAAAAAAACAATATCTCACCACCGGAAGTCCGGTCACTTGAAACGATTTTTTCCGAATTCCCTGTTTTTTTAAAATAATATTTTGCGCGTGAAATAATTCTTTATAATTAATTTTATTTCCAACCGAAAAACGACAGCAACCGTTAGCTGATAACGTGATAAACACCGGAAGGAAACCCGTTAAATACGTAAAAGAAAGCGCGAAACGATGAGCCGATAATAAGCATGTAGACAGCGTCATTTGACAGGTTTCAGCAACAGCCGCCGAAATGTAAACTGACACACCTTCGTCCACGATCGCGGGGCTTTTTCACGCCCACATACGGATTACTGCCAACATTGCCATCCCCCACCCGCTAACCACAGTCTCATCAGATTACACTGCTTTACAAGTTAATTATAAGTGCAACGCCAATCACAACAATTCGCGCGAAAAGAAAACTTTTATCTAGCAAATTCCCTTCAAAATTAAAAAAAATGATTAAAACAACTTGAATACGATAAAATATTTTAACCAGACGATCACATCTAACGTTTACAATTATTAAAATTCGCCGACAAAAAAGATGCTTCAAATTAAACAAAATTTTAAAACGATGCTAACAATGTACCAGTAAAAATTTCACAAATTTATGAAGTTGATAAACTACTGTATGCGATATTACTGAAACAGTTCCTACAAATTACAAAAGATCCCCTAAGTTTTGTTAGAGGCACGACAGCCTGCGTGATAGATACGCCACTTTGCGTATGCGTATCACTGCACACATGCTGATTCGCCCTCTCTTGTACGTACGTGGGTGGCTGCACTGCACTCTCCGCCTATGCGGATACACCGCGGGCGCACTCACTGAGCATACTTGCTCTCTCGCTCCTCTCTCTCGCTGTATGACTCAGCGTATATTCGCTCGCGTTGGATACGAGTCCAGTCTGCGCACTCACATTCCATGTGTCTGGACAGCGTGACGCCGTTGCCGCCAGCACATTTCTTTCTCTACAATTCATTACGCTCTAGAACTAGCTCGCAGCAACTTGACTTGCTGATTTCTGCCAGACACTGGCCTTTGTTGTGTTTTTCCCCGCATTCACGCGGCATTCGCTCCACTTTATTTGTACAATAAAGTCACCTGTGAGCTCTCTGTGCTTGCCTGTCACATGGTAAGCAGATCGTCTGGTTTTTCGGTTTATCGGATCCTTTGAGGAGACGGTAAAGGCATAACTTGCGGAGAACTCGAAGAACCCACGGTTGAAAACAGATTGACTGCGAACGCAGCCTCTGCTTCAACCTGGTCTTTGCTGTCTAGCGACTGTGGTAGCAACAGGTTGATCGCAAAAGCGATCCCTGCCACCTTCGCTTGCCCTATCTTTTGGCTCTTCCACACAAGGAGAGCACTTTGGCTGACTGCCCCAGACGGACAAACGGGAACTCCCCCACCGCAACTGACGGACCAGGCTCAGAAGGAAGCCTGCAGCGCGCAAGGATCCTCTCAACAATCGGGGACCTTCTCCTTGAACGGAGACCCGCAACTTTAACGGCGGAATTCGACCTCCCAACGGCGGATCACCGACCTCCACGGACACCGTAACGAACCGGTAAAGTCCTGGTTACAGGTCGACACAGGTCGAATCTAGCTATAATTCTTAATTCTTAACGGCTGAAATTTATTTCTAAGAACTAGAAATAATTTTTCTACGGTAAAAAGTTAATTTTTGTCGGAGAAACCGACCTACAAAATTACTTTACCGACCTAACTGACCACCCTGTGTAACGGAGCAGAGGTCGGTCATCTTCTTACTTTCTTGATTTGACGGATTTTCCACCGTCAGAAAAATTTCTGAGAATCTAGAAATTATTTCTAACGGCTTAAAAATTAAAATTTCGACCAGAAAACATCTCTGATCGACCTAAAAATAATTTTGTTTTTCCGCGAAAATAAGCGCGAAAATTCCCGAATTTCCTTGTGACGTCAGAACGCTCGATTTTCAGTACTTTGAAGCTAGCCAATCAGCGTGCAGGGGAAACTTCCCATACGCTTAACATAGGCGTGAATCATCATTTTTTAAATTTTGCACGCGGCTCGCATTCTGTGACGTAGGCAGCGAAGTGCAAGACCACTTAGCCCTGTGACGTCATACTGGTCAGCACAGTAGTATAGGACGTACTCTACTGTAGTACCTTATCATACTGTACTGTACCATAGTACTGTATTGTAACGTTGTGTACTGAGTCACACACAGACACATCAACACAACAGCAACAACAACAAGTCGGACCATCCTGACCCTCGGAAGTTCCTGAACCCAAAGACGTTCCTGATTTCATTGAACATCCCCACATAAGGGATTGTTCAATTTACTGTACAACAGTACAAGTTTCTCGTTGGTTCCACTTGAACCGACCTGACCCGACAACGATGTCGAACCCGAAGGAAAACGAATACGCCCGAAAGTTCAACACGGACTATTCGCGGCGCCTGACCTCCAACGCGCCGTATGCACTACGGCACTCTGGCCAGGATAAAAGTCAGCCGTCATCAACGGACTCAACGAAGTCGGCCGAGGCAAGGGAGAAGCGCAACGAGCGGATCCTCCTCGCCGATTCCAACCCAACGTCCGATGACAGCTTCGAGGACGCCCACGACAAGACGTTCCTCGAGCCCCGAGCTGGCTTAGCAGCCCCGTCCCACCCGACCGGGGGGGAAATGGAGCATCTGCAGGCTGAGACCACATTGTCTCATGCCGAGGCGGAACACCCACATGGTGTACCGACCTCTACGGACTCAATAGAAGGACTTCAACTGAGCTCACAGAAAGCTCAGGAGTCGGTAACGACTACGAAAGTCACCGACGCCGGACACACATCACCTAACCAGACGGATGACGTGAAGAGGTCGACATCGCCCAACTCGGGTAGAGCGACTTCACCGACCTCGAAGGTCGGAGAGAAGCAACCGATAACGGAAATCGGTCAAGTCCAACCGACCACAGAAGTCGGTAGGGCTTCACCAACCTCTAAGGACGGTCAACGGAAACCGACCTCGGGGGTCGGTTATCCTCAACCGGAGGTCGGACCTCATCTGACAACACAAGTCGGAATTGAGGTCGGAAGACTACAGCAATCACCAACCAAGGAAGTTGGCCAAGTCCAACCGACAACAGAAGTCGGGAGGATTTCGCCGACCAAGAAGAATGGAAGTCCACCGACCAAGGAGGTTGGTCAACAGAAGCCACCTACTGAGGTCGGACCTCACCCGACAACACAAGTCGGAACTGAGGTCGGACTACTTCCACCGACCAAGGAGGTCGGTCAACAGAAGCCACCTGCTGAGGTCGGACCTCACCCGACAACACAAGTCGGAACTGAGGTCGGACTACTTCCACCGACCAAGGTCGGTCAACAAAGACAGACCATGGAGGTCGGACCTCGTCCGACAACACAAGTCGGAACCGAGGTCGAACAACTCCCACCAACTCCAAGGATCGGACAACAGCAGGTCGGTAAAGTCCAACCGACCTCCCTGGAACGGAAGCCAGCGGATAACAGGTCGGATATGGACATCCAGTGGCCTAAACTATCGGCCAAAACGGGAGAAACTGAGGCCCCGCCACGAAGCGGACCTCACCCGGCTGGATCACCAACCAACATACCGATGCCTAACGAAAAGGCTATTTCACCGTTAAGTCGACCTTCGCCAACGGAAGGCAGGTCGACCCGAGTAACAGAAGCTCAACCGAAGGTGAAGTCGGACAAGTCGTCAACAAGTCGACCTGTCGACTTACTGAAGAAGCAGTCGCCACCGATGTTCGAACTTGGCGACTCGGGTAGCGAAACGCCACCACCCATGGACGACGTTTTTGACACAACAGTAATGTCACGTCCCAGTAGCAAGGATGGATTCTTCCGAACGCCGGTGGCACCCCACTTGGGTAACCATAGGTACCAAGCAAGTACGCTTGAGTACACAGCACGGAAGTGGATCGCATCCACACCTCCAGAAAAGATCGAAGACGTCGATCGACTCAGGAAACGATGCCAGGATCTGATAACTCAAATCGTCCTGGCCGACCAAATCGTTAACTCCACAGAAAGTCAGATGTCACGATCGGAGGACACCCATAAACTCGAACGGAGGCGATGGGAAAAAGAACTCGCTGACGCCAACAAAGGCATAGCCGCTCAACAGTGCCGGATAGAACATCTGGAGAGTCACCTCAAGAGGTCCGACAACCCATGTCGGTACGACTTCGAAGAGGTCGAGCGACTCAAGAGTACACTCGCGACATCTATGGAGTCAATCTTTGAATTGAAAAGACGGCTCCACGCTGTGGAAAAAGACATGGCTGACACACAAGCAGCCTTGGTCGAATCGGAACTGGCAGCAGGAAAATTCCACCAACAGCTTAATCAAGCCAACGAAGAGGCTGAAGTGTACCGGAAGGAGGTCGACCGATACATGGTCGAACTCAAGCAGGCCGACGACGAGGTCGACCGGCAAAGACACCGAATCGAACAACTCGAAAGGGAGATGGAAACTCTCCTGGTCAGGGCAGGACGACAGCTAATGGCTCACTACGGCCAGCAACCTGCCTCACCTGACCGAAGTAGAGCCATCACCGACCTGGAACAGGCGAACGCCCAACTGACCGACCAGGTCTATGGACTCAACGATGTGCTGAAGGAGGAACAACGACTCCGAGCACAGCTGGAACACAGCCTGGCAGAAGCCCAAAAGGTGCACGAAGCGCAACAGAACCGCATCGCACACTTGGAAGTCCGCGAAAACGACCTGTACAACTACGGTCTGGACGCGGATAAATATATCGATGACTTAAATCGATATATCGACGAAATGACCACGTATACCGACGACTTGGATACGGAGGTACGCTGTCTCCAGGAGGAAACGAAACACTTGGAACAATCCAGGACGGAGCCTCCATCCTACAGGACTTCGATGGCAACGGACTTCCACTTTGAACCGTCGCAAACAGTCCGAGATATCCTGTGGGACATTAAACCTAAAGAGGAGAAGAAGGAACAGAACTTCTTCGTGGGCGTGGTGACAACTAACCCGCTCATCGGAACTCCTCCGCAGCAACAGCCTCTGCCCCACCGTCCAGAACCGGAACGGAATACGTCGACTGCGGCACCACATGTGCCAACGTCAAACGTGCCGACAACGACGACGGCCACGTCAGGTACCTACACTAGTACCACGTATGCAACACACACATCGATGCATGCGCCAGCGCCCACCACGTCCCACCCGAATGGACCAGCGCCTAATCAATGGGGCGCAGGACGGCGACTAGGAGAGCGAACAAGCTCACATCCCAACATGGACGACTTCGGCCGCTTGACGATAAGCGACTCCGATTACCGGCGTGAACGAGCTAGGTCATACAATAACGACCTACCTCCAGGAGGACGAAGCGGACAACCGAATCCGGAACGCCCTCCCGCCGAGTACCCACAAGACTCGCAGAACGTGCCTCGGTTCCGACCAACAGAAGGTCGGGCACCACCGAGAAGGCCGTTCAGAAGTCAGCATGGAAGGGTGAACGACCTTCCACCGGGATTCTACCAACAGCCACAACGGCCA